GTGGTCTCTGGTAGAATGACCAGCGCTGTGGAACAGTCTGCTCCTCAGCATAATGCTGAGCCAGGGCCAGGTACAACCACAACACACACGCATTACACACTTAAAACGTGCCTAGTTCTTTAAATGAAAAAAATATATTTTTATTCTTTTTATTATTATTATTTTGTGTGTTTCTGAGTGTGTGTTTCGATAGTAATAAATGTTATGTATATGTCTAATATTTTAGAAATACTTACCTGTTTTTTCACTGAAACCCACGTCTCTCACAAAACAAATGACAAGTAATACTGTATCCACCCTTGATTACAGTTACATTTGAATTTTAAAATAATTCGACGCCAAAGTTCAACCAATTCAAAGCAATACGTAATAGGTTACTAACCTTAGCCCGCGTTATTATTAAAACGTTAGCGTAAAATGTCGTCAATAAACTTAAATTAAAATATTTTTCGTATGACTTGTAGTTAAATTAATCATGGAATTGTACCGCGATTCTCACGACTGAACACATATAGAAAAGATGTCCAGTTGCAAACTAACAATCATATATCGTTAATAAAATTCTTTAAAAAACATTAAGGCAGATTATCTGCCCTAAAACTTCGTATAAGCCTTTCATTATTAAACATATTAAAATAAAGAGCTTAGAAACACTCTGTGCAGCTAAAACTGTCTAAATGAAATCCCATATAAAACTTACATGCCTAAATAATTGTAATAACTTTCTCGTTGACGATTCACGAAATCACTGGAAACATCGAGTTATGTAAATGTTATACATTCGCGTTTATTAAACCTCGCCCTCGGCTTCGCATGGGCTACTGTAACCCGTAAACCTTGCAAACTTATATACCTAAACTTATGAATTATCCTAGATATTGATGGCTTTTCGTTTATCGCAAACAACTGATAGAGGCGGCGGAAGATTTTTTTAAATATAATGTAAAATTTAGACATATGCTGCAACTGGTTACAAAAAGCATTATTTCTCTACAACTCAATTATATATCTCTCATCGTTAAGGTATTACCTATTTATTAGTAATCTTACAGGTAAGTTTTGTTTTATTTTATAATATGTATATTATAAAATAGAGCAAAACTCAAATCCTCTTTGGTGAGGTGGAAAATATCAATATCCTCATAATTAGAGTCATAGTTAGATAAAACCCATAACATTGACGAAATATGCAGGTAATCCGTGTTCGTGCGACGTAGATGGAACTATTGTGAGTATCTTGTCGAAGGTAGCATTTGTAAGAAATCTATCGTTCGACCGTTTTATCTTCGATTTACTTTGCAAAACCGACAGCAAAAACGTCTTCATTTTTTCTATTGGTAAAAATCTATTTAAAATCTGTGCAGGTTCTGAGACCACTCAAACTTTACTTCTTTATAATATTAGTATAGATAAAGTAGTTTTATTTTACGTACTAAACCAAAAGCAGCAGGTTAGGTGAGTCACACAGTAAGGGCCTCATAGCCTAGCGGTCTTATTAAGTCACCGCTTGGCGAGGGGTATCAGGTTCGATTCCCGGTCGGTGCGCAAGTTTATCTCTATTTAAATTTGTATTCTGCCTTTGGGAGCGTTGTGCGGTACCGGGCGAGTGCTTAAACCGTACATGGAGGGCACGGTCGAATTTCTAAGGCAAGCAGTGGGAATGCTACCAAAGAAAATAGACTATGATGTTTGGGATGTATGTATATCCTAGGCCGAGGATGGAAGCTGCAAGTGGTTGGCATTTCAACATTTCTTACGACACGGATTAAGGGAAACTGTAACCGTGCCTCCCGTCCATAGCGAGCAGATGGCTGTTGGGTGTTAGTGGGTAGGGGTCCATTGCGTCTACCTACTAATACCCCCACAGTCCTCGTGTCACTTTTAAAAGTTGCCCCGGCGCGGGGGTCTGTAATATTTCCCAACAATAAAAAAAAGAAGTCTAGTTACACAGTAAAAGCTTATTTTATCAAGTCAATTTTGACGGTACTACGGAGCGTCATTTGTCATGTTCGCCCTTGCCGTCGTGCCGCAGTACTAAAACCAATTTATGCATAACAAATTCACTTTTGCATGTATGATTTTAAAAGTAATGATTATTGAGAATGCAAATTTCAAACGAGAACTAGTTAAATTTACTTTTACACTTAGCTACGAGGCGACACTATGGTTTAAGTAAATCTCAGTACATCCGCAACATATGTAAATATTATTATGTACTTACGTAAGTACCTTTTTATGCTACCTCAACACATGACGTAACATATTGAAATTGCAATATAATTAAAGATCTGTGATTTTGTTTACTTGTTGTAGTGACCTTGCCTTAAAAATACATTCTAAATATGCCGATGACAGAATATTATTTTAAATTTATTATTATTATCATACACTGGAATATTTTTGTTATTTGTTTCCTCGAATTAATACGATTGTTTAAATCGTCGTAATTAATGTTAGAGATATCAAATTTCTTACCACATTATAACCATACAAATTCAATTAATATTACGATCAGACGACCACAATACCTTGGGCCCCGATGTTCCAAATTGTTTATTCTCCTGACTGGTATAAAAATAAATAAAACAAAAACATTTTCAAATTATTTATTTCAAATGGCCACTGACGTAAAAAATATGTAAACAAAAAATTCTAGCGCGTAACATCTTAACTATCTTAAACTACAGTCTACACGTTCATAAAATAACTTTCTTTGATATATATTGTACTCTTCATATAACCAACTTAAAATTAAATGATTCTACGTATTTGTGTCCGGGTAAATAGCATAAAGTTCAACAAAGTCTGTTTTCAGCACCCTTAACATTACGTAAAATCGATGAGTACATTTCGTTGACTCATACTAAACAACACAAACGTTGTTTCGAATACTATTCATAGAAAACAGAAACTCTACGCTACCAGAGACTGAGAGCATTGACAATTGACAAAACTATGGAAAACTGTACTAAAGATAAATGTCAAATAAATTACCAATTCCAATAAGCGATTGGAACACCGAATTTGCAGTTCGCGCCTACAAATAGTCTTTTGAATTATTTAATAAAACAAAATAATTAATTAAGAATGTGTATAAAGTTTATACATCAATTTTAATTAGTTATACATTATTTTAAAAATCGTAAGTTGGAAATATGAAGGTGTCCAATCCAGAATGTTTCATTAAAAATTTACAGCTGGTAACTTTATCTTTACAAATATTCACAGATAATTTGCAAAATATCCTTTAATATAAATACAATCAGTAAATCCAGAGTATATATGAACAGAATTTTACTCTATAAGCTACCAAATAATAAATTATAACAAAAAAAATAAAATTTAGTTCCCATACGACGCAAGCAAATTATCAAATTTTTTACATCATTCATAATGTAAAATTCGTTAGCTTTGGCCTGTGGATTTTTAAACATCGATTTTTCATACTGAATATATATTTTATCTTTTCCGTATTCAAAATTGTTTATATAGATTATACAATAATGTAAAATCTATATTTTTGACGATTAGTACACAAGTCAAGATAATTTGATGAAATTGATTTTAAAAAATCTCTTACAACGCCAAACTACGATAACTGATTTTAATCTTCTAAAAATACAATAAGATATTATGCCTGCATCGCATCATTGTCATTGATAGAACTTTCAATAAAAATAAAAATAAAATAAAAAAACAAATAACCTAGAAAAATATGTGCGTTCACAATTGTACTCGTTTCTAAAATATATAAAATAACAGCACCAAAAAAATAAAATATCAACTCCAAATACGCCAAAAAAAATAACTTAAATATATTAATTTTTCATATTTACATGTGGCCTAAAACTTTGGCAAGATTTAAAAAATTTAGTTCTTTCTTGTGACAATACTTAATCTAAATTTATACATTATTCTTAAATTCGATATATCACCACCCAGGTGTACTCTTCCAAAAGACGCATCATTTAAGATACAGCATTTTTTGTAAACAAAGCTATAAATACTGCCATCGCACACTGCCGAAAAAATGCTAAGTCAAAAATGATGCCAGCATATAAAATACAATAAGAATCTAACTGGTAACTATTTATTAAAATTGCCTTGAATGATAAAACTTTTCAAAAACTCTGTGTCTCCTGTTTATATCACAATTTTATTATTTTTAAAGTAAGAAAATGTTCTAATTCGTTACACTAATATTACATTCCTTTAGAGAATAATACGTAAAATCGAATTCCGGCATATTATTGCTTCTATATTTCAGCTCTCAGACCATTTTTGTTTACTAAAAGAACATCAAGTTGTGTGAATTTTTTAAAGAAGTTCCATTTCATATCTTAAAACAAGACTTATTATGGTTCATGTAAATAAAAAATGGCACCATAATGATAAGCTGCTAGGGAGACTCTGTAGTTTATGGCCTTTCTAACAACTTACTTTGGTTCTCCCTTGACAGATTCGCTAGGCCTTCAAGAGGTGACATTGACATCTGTCAATGTCTACAGTAGAAAATGCAAAGTACAAATTATTACTTTTTTTATAAAATAAAGATGTCTTAGTATACTGGTTAAATAAAAATATTTTTTTAGGACGTAGCAACGACAAACAAAAAATATTTTCAAATGTTGTAATATTATTTTTATCTCGATGATGAAATTTTACGTAAAAGATGTATAGATTTTTGATATTAACATCATAGCTACGTCCTTGTATAAAAATTGATCCCCATACAGTAAATTACAATAAACTATCATCTATGTATATCACACAAAAAACTTAAGAGATTGAAGTCTGACAAGATTGGCTTTAAATAAAAAATACCAAAAACATAACTGACCCGGAAATTAAAGTTGTCACTGTATAACACGTTTAAAAATTTGTCCAAAGAATAAAGCCAAATAGTTATGTATATTTAAAAATGGTGGAATGTTGTACAATTTCAGAAAATGAAAAACAAATTAAACCAAATCAGTCAGACAAGTTACCAGGAATGACTTTCACTGAAGGATTCGCGATAAATCCTGGAAAATAGAAATATTAAAATTACTTTTTTCTTTACAAAAAGTTCTAAACTGCGCCGGTACTGTGTAAATTCCAATACTACTACAACGTTTTTCGATCTGTAGCGCTGATGTCACAGCCTCGTGCGGTACAAAAACTGAAGTCAAGTAAAGGGAGTTTCATAGCACCGGCGCTAAAACTTTAATGATTGATTAAAATTTTACGTAAACAAACAATTTCTATGATATAAGTATTTCCTTAAGTTGAGAAATCAATAACTATTACTTCGCTAAGAATTGTTCCGACAGTTTTTCTTTATTGGGTTTAAAACTAAAAAGCGCGCCAATTATTCTTCTGTCAAATGATTTTCACAAAGTACGTCGCACTAAAACTTGTCTCTGAATCTGAGTTGCTTATAATCCGCGAATTACTAATGTGGAACCTTATCAAATAATATTTTTATTAAACAACAAAATTCTATTAAAACATTCTTAAATATTGTGTTTTTATAAAATGACTAATTATGAGATTTACTTAGTTTTATTACATTTCATCACTATTTTTTTTAATCTATCATTTTGCAAATGGTGGCCCGGCGCATTAGCAATTTGCGGTAACATTTATCTAATAAGATTTTTTTACCTCATACCGATGCATTAGTGGTGTAGTGGTACACTGATTGTTGTCACTGTAGAAGAATGGTCGCTTCTTTGTGTTTTGCCCTACAAAGTGAAAATAATAGTTCGACACTGCATAACACATTTTAAATTGCCAAAGGTCTAAGCAAAAATAATCGTAACTTCTTGCTTATACAAACTTTTGCCGTGTTTTTTTTTTTTAATTTTCACATTCTGTGTATTTTGATTGTTCGTAATTTAAAAATTACAAAATAGGGTAAGGACACGTGCCATAAGAATTACAGAAAACATGTTTAAGCCGATTTCATCTGAACTACATACATGGAAAGGTTATAAGATTTTTCTCCCTGATCAAGAAAGACATTAATGAATAAAATATTTATTTTGATTTACATTAATTCGATTTCCAACTTAATAATAAAATTAATAAAACAAAAACTCCTTTGTTTTTTCCATAGAAAGGAATCAATAATACTCACATAACTGTGCATGCGCAGCTAAAGCGTTCTGCTTCGCGATCAACAACTCAGGCCCTGGTCGACTTATGCACAATGGATCTAGAAATATGTATTATTTTTTTTGCGGCTTTTCAGAAGATAATAAAGAGAAAAGGTAGATTCTCCTTAAAATGAGTAAATATCTACTTATAGTTTTGCTTGGGTGTTTGCCTGAGCAATAAGCAATTCTAAACCCAAAGATCGTGCGTTCCAACCCCGGTGCACCACACTTTTCTTACAATATGATAACATTTGCTCATACGGAAAAGGATCCATAAAATCGGGCGCAAAAGGCTGATCTACTTGAGTTTTAAACCGGTAAAAGAGTATTTTCTTAAATTAATAATATGTATTTTAAAATACCTGGTATCTGAACATGTGTGTTGAAAAATTGTTGCGACTGCATTACAGTTTCACTGCCTGAAATTTAAAAAAGTGTACTTTAGTTTCTATAACTATATTTAATGTTGTCGTTATTTTGTTACTTCTCAACTTTCCCAAACCGGGTTGTCAATGTCAGGTCAAAAAATGGTTTAAAGGCATTCGATTTTTGAACTAAACAACACTAAAAAATTATAAGTCGGTTGTATGTGGAATTAGGTAGTTAATAAATATAAATAAGAGAAGGCGGTTCATTCCAAAGGCATAAGCTTAGCTGGATAGCGGACAAAGAAAACACTTGATATTTAAAAGTAAGTTAATAATTTTATGGTTATTATTTTTATAATATTAGAAATAAATTAAATAAAATAAACAATAATTCGAGTCCATCACCAAATTATTAACAAAGTTGGTCTTTTGCAGAAGTACTCTAGAGATCTTTCGAAAATAAAATAAAATCTTAATTCAATTGTTTTCATTAAAAAAACTACATTTTCGCTGTGATAACTCGAATATCCATGAAATAAAATTACATTCCAAACTTATACTCCTAATAATAATTTTAAATTAAACACCCATCCTGTCCCATGCCCCTTACTATATAAATACTCACCGTTGTTATCACTATTTTCCGGTTCCTGTTTGACCTCCTCTTCTGTCTGTTGCATAATGCTGTGATTCTCGTATAATGGGTCTTCTAAAAAATATTAGAAAATTAATTTCGGCACAGCTGGTGAGAAGATATATAAAAAAAAAACCGTTTCAAATAATGAAGAGCGTTATTGCACGTTACCCTTAAATGCTTAACAGTGTAAAATGGAAAAGTAGAACACATGAAAAGAGTGTCGTCAGTATCAATAGAGACTGTAAGTAGTGTTATTGGACACTTTCATATGTTAAATATCTTTATAATAGATTAGGTTAGATTGTACCTTATTTTTTGGTATTGGTCCTTTTAGGTACTGATTATTGTAAAGAAACGAGGCTCTTCAGGACACGAATATTTAATACGAGTGTTGGTACAATACTCACTTATATTAAAATATTTGTGCATTTATATTAATCATGTAGGCACAAGATCTAAACTACTTATTAGTTTCGCTTAGTTAGATCTGTCTATGTATTTAATTCTAGAAGTTTGTTTTTAAGTATTATAAAATGTAATGAATATCTTCGCTTCGGATGAAAAATTATGATTTGTGTTCCACCGTCACATAAAATTCTGTATTCTTTTTTTAAAATAAATAGTAAGATCGTAATGTCAATAATGTCTTAAGGTGGGAACTGACCAAAGTTACAAGGTGTAATGTAGCATTCGCATCGAGCGTGTTACCAAGCAGTTACGCGTTCTAAAACGTAACATGCCTTTCACAACCCCCCCCTTCCAATCCAACAGGAGGACTATATAATAAACATAAGTAAATAGAATGAAAGATCATTCTATTTAATTTGTTTATCAAATTAAGAAGAAGAAGAAAAATGCTGGACATCAAACTTATTTAAAAACACAGGTATGAGGTGGTTTGTTATGATCAAATATTTAAAAAACCAATGATTACTGGAAGTGTAAAACTTTGTACCATGTCTCATTTTGAAGAATTAGAATTTAATTGGACCAAAAGTACTTAAAAGACACAGTTTATAGAAAATCATAATCATGATCACTCGCGATGCGACGCGTACGATGAACAGTCAGTACGTCGTGTTACGGGGAAACCAGCGAGCGACGAGCCGCTCGTTGCTCGCTTTGAGTGCTCCACCCGGCTGTCGGTTTTTTGGCGAATCTTTTGACTGTTACGCGGTTCAGTCAGTACGCGTCGCACGTCGCGAGTCATCATGATTATGATTTTCTATATAAATTTTGTCTTTCTTACGTACTTTTGGTCCAATTAAATTCAACAGTTCTTCAAAATTGACACATGCGTAAAAGTTTTTATACTGTCCAGTAATCATTTGGTTTTTTAATATTGCAATCAATAACAAACCACCTCATACGCCTGTGTTTTTAAATAAGTTTGATGTCCAGTTACATTTTTTCTTCTTCTTCTTAATTTGGATGAAACAATAATTAAGTAGAATCAAAGATACCAAATGTCGGTCTCGTGAACACTGGCGGCGAAAGCGGAGCACAGAGTTTTGAAGAGCATGTTACGCCGATTTTAAAACACAGCGTAACATGCTCGATGCGTAACATGCTCGATGCGAATGCTACATTACACCTCGTAACTTTGGTCAGTTCCCACCTTTAGAAAAGAGGCAATAAAAATATATTAGAAAATAAAACTAAATCAGTGGCGCACATCCTTTTTAGGTCTAAGCCTCAGATTTCTGTATCTGTTTTATGATGATTTGTCAATCTAATAGGCAAGTAAGTGGTCAGCCTTCTGTGACTGACACACGGCGTCGACTTTTTGGGTCCAAGGCAAGTTTCCTCACGATGTTTTCCTTTACTGTTCGTGCAAATGTTAAATGCGCACATAGAAAGTCTATTAAAGAAGAATGTGTTATTAAATTATTTTGCCATACTTACCAGCTCTCTCCTTGCCTTCAAAGAATTTGTCTTCCTCTGCATAGACCTCCACTTCTTGCTTTATATGATTCTCGTCGAAGAAATTCTGATTTTCATTCATTCTGAAAAAAAAAATTGTCATGTATGTCAAACATCCATTATTAAATTAGCCAGAGACTATAAACTATTGTTTATGTAACTGTCATATAATAGCGGGTATTAAAACATGAGTGTAGTTTATAAAGGGAAGAAAGCCAAGACATTTTCAGCTGAACATTTAAATAAATATTTAAACAAAGTAGTGTATGCAAATGCATATACATAATTAGGTATTAAATGACAGTTGCATAAACTACTATTTTAATTTTCTTAAAGAAGTATGTAAATAAAATATGCCAATATATGCGGTAATATTCTAATATTTCATAATTAGAATATTACCGAATGAGATTATATAAAATATATATTTAAATAGAAATTCCTGGCTGTAAAAAAATACGAGTGTTCTATAACCTGTATCCTATACATGTGGTGCAGGAGTCCGAAACGGCCCGTCTCATTTTTGTTTTTTTTTTACAATATGTGAATATGTAAGTTACTTAGCTACAGTATATAAACATTTTTTAGTCAATATTTTTTTTATTTAACCCCATGGGTCATCATGGTCAACTAACAAAAGCTATTATAACACCAACGATGCTACCGAGGCGCACAACTAGTCAAAATATATAAAATATATATACACTATAATATATACTATAAAATTGTTTTATTTGAGATGATGTAACATTTTTATTCGATATTCGATCTAAAAATAATTCTATTTGTCATTTTGTCGTCGTAAAGTATATCTAGATAAGATTAATTTTTATTTTGATAGTACTATAAGAGTAAGATTTCGAAACGAATCTTAACGCTAAGCTTGCCTTCCGTATGAAAAAATTCACGGTTTTTTAATATCACCCATGTTTCAAATTTTGATCCAGACAAGAAACTCACCTATGTTGTTCCTGTAACATCTGTATATTTTGTTGTTGATTCCTCAACATCTCAGCGCTATCTTGATAATAAAGGTCATAATCCATCTTCTGATAGACATCTTTCCCAAAATTTTCCTCATTTTTCTCTTTTGAAAAATCTACAGTTTTCTGAAAACTGTCAAACGTACTGCTCTTTCTCTCCAACGCATATTTTTCCGCTTCTTTATTATATTCCTCTGTTGTCTGTGGTAAATACTCTTTGTTTTTTAAATAGTCGTCTGGATACACATATTTGGGTGATTCATATTTGCCGGGACTTTCATCATCAGTTAAGGGATCCGTTTGCATTATTGCGTCTTGGGTTTTTGGTTTCTCTGGAGAATTTAACCATTGAAGGCGGCTGGCTAACTGAAATACAGTTGAAACCCAAATATAATGACATTGGATATATGACACTGATTATTACTGGTGGAGACTTCAAATCTGTTTATTAAAAGTATACAAAAAAATTATTAATAACATTTAATTAAAATAATGTATTAAATTGTTTATTGGCAATGAAAGAGGTACATAAGATTGATGAATTTACAAGCACAATCAACATGCAAACGTCAAAATAATTAAAACGATATATGTCATTATGTAATACATAGATCATCTAAATGCAATGGTTTATATTAACAAAATAGGAGTATAGTCAGAAGCGTAACAAACGTGGAAATATTTACTTATTAATCTATTAAAACTTGAATTCTTATTGATCATGAAATGGATTCAGAAATCTGAGGCCAAGACTTAAAGAGGTTGTAGCGCCACTGTTTTTTTAATCTATTTACATATATACTCCTTTGCATTTCCTTTTTAGAGCCATATAATTACTTGAATAACTAAACTAATACTTAGTTATTTATTCTAAGCGAAGCTATCTAAAAAAAAATAGTTACTACTAATACTTACTATAGACGATTGTGGTGCAATAACTCTTTGTGGTTCTGTGGTTGGGTCTGGGCTCATCAATTCTGTCTTTACAGTTTGACTACCCATTAACAACTTCTCTTTTTCAATAGAGTAGTATTCTTGGTGGCATTGGCTGTGAACGATAGATCAAAAGTATTAGAGACTTTATCATAACAATTAATTTAATCAATCAAATAAATCAATTTAACAATAAACTATAAACAAAATAACATAACTATCTCAACCATAAATCAGGTCTAGTTGTTTTCGAGTTGTTTTTTTCTTTATGCCCATGTGATATTTAAACGCATTTTAATACAGGTGTAAATTTTTTTAAATAATATTTTTATTATTTAATGCAAATGATGATTCAGTATAGTATCGAATTTTAGCAAATTTTGTAATATTACTATGTCATAAAGCATACTATGGTTCCACCAGAAGTTCAAAGGTTCGATTGCGAGCGAAATAATAACTGTTTTAGCTTAGATGATACACCTTCTATTTAATATAACATACAGAGGTATTCTCTTATTAAAAAATTACCAATTAAAAGCTGATGCCTGACTAGAGTCTGGCTAAAGAAAGAAGATAACGAAAAAGCGCGGCAAATTCCATTTTTTTTAGTATGGTATCCCTAAAAGTTTGATATAATATTTTGTGGATTAAACTTACTTAATTTTATTTTATTATTTTTTACATTGATAGTAACTGTATTTCTATGAAATTAAATACTATACGTATTTAGTCTTTTACTATTGATACTTAAAATGACTAGCATTGCATGGAAAACTAAAACTATATTTATTATAAAACACAACTTTATTCGGAATAATCAAATCCTGCGAAAGAAACGAAATATTCTATCAAATAAAACAAAGTTTAGGTTATTATACTTGTTAACTATTCGGAAAAAATATATAATAGAAATAAAAATGAGTTATTGCATGAAGTATCAAGACAATAAATCATACTAACCTAAGAAATTCAATGACATTCTGTGTTGCCATCCGAAACATTTCAAATAATTCAATTATCTTCTTTCATTAGCCAGACTCTAGGAAGCTATCAGAGCTCATATTTTTTAATGTTCAAAGTCTTATTAATATCTAAAATCAAGAATATAACACTGGCCGCAACTACCACAAACTAGAAACAAATGTACCTGTTCTCATCCTTCTTATCGCCTTTATATTTAACACTCGTCCGACTCTTACGAATAACCATAACTGTGCCATCTGGATTTAGTTTTGGTAAATTCTGTGTGGGTACTGCGTCTTTGCTCAACGTCTTCCATTGACCTTAAAAAGACATTATCCTTAACATTTAATTAGTGATTAACTCTACAATGATTTTTGCAATAAAGCACCAAATTGCATTATGATAGCTGTACTTTGTATTACATTGACAGGGAAACAGGGGCAGATCTACTTCAGGATTTTTGGGCTGCAGACCAGGGCCCCTTGAAAACAATAGGCGATATTTTTAATTTTATAAAAATCCAATCATAATGTTGGAATCCCTGAGATCAATCAACTCATTTGCGATGCGCAACAGAACGGAACGGGGAATTCCCCGTCGCTTGTTTTCAGTCAGTGTATTTTTTCGCGTGTGTGGTAAACCCCCATAATATAAATGGGGGTTTCTCCGTAATAGTCCAGAGCCCCACAAATTCACGATCCGCTCATGCAGGGAAATATCAGGTACCAATAAAGCCTTTTTTCTATTGGTTATCATATTTTTTTGTACATCACACACAGTAACACACATAAAAGTTATATACTTAAATTACAAAAATCATAAAATTAATTAATTAAAGTCTCTAATTTTTGTCAAGAATGTTAAATAGTGTATTATGGCATTTTTATTAAATGTAAATAAGGAGAATTATATCAGTACAAAACAAAGTGTATACTTTCATATTGTGCCTTAAAAAGATTAAAATATAGGTCATGTTCTTTAAGCTACAGAAACATTTTAAAATTTTTCATCATAATAACTAATATAATACAATTGATTGGTAAGCTAAGAGACTTCTATATAAATATTTATTTCCATACAAAATAATTGGCAAAATGTTCATCCAAAATAATAACATGCAACATAGCCAAGATAAGATAACTCATTATATAATAACATACATAATATAATTTATCGGCTGTATAGGTCACTTCTCTATAGGTTGGTTTAAACAATTAATTTAGCATTAGTGTAACACAGGTCTGGCTTTTAAAATACATTAAAAAAATGTTGACTACACACAGTGCTGATGGCTATGCTTAAAGTTCTTTGCTATTGTTAAAGTAAGGAAATTTTCAATTAAATTAAAAAAGCATGAGTCAAAAGACTAAAATTTAATAAAAACTGCTTATGCCAAGTAAGGAAATAGATATTTTATTATATTATATTAAACTGCAAGCAACTAGTTGATACAGTCAACTTGATTTGATACTATAATTATATTTGTTGTTGTTATTTAAAATAAACTCAACTACTTAGATAAAGTGTTTAATGATACTTAAGATTTTTTCAAATAAATTCCTTTATTTGCATTTAATATTATTTATTTTATCATATTAAATCATTATTGTGGATTTTTTTTATACAACCTTACATTAATAAATAAGTAAATATTTTACCTTAGCAAAACTTTAATACTTTAGAGAATTAATGATAATGACATAATGTCTATGACTCATGTAATAGGGAAACACCCTGATTAGATTTTCTGCTGTCATAGCAGGAAAATTAAATATATTGTTATAATATATTTTTATAAAGCCTTTTATGTGTTATGTTTTAAAACTACAAAGAAATAATTAAGTAACATCTATATATCTACACTATTGAACTATTAAATCATTTATTCAAACTCTGTAATGATTTTTTGTAAGAAATAGCCCTAAGCATTTGGCATTGAGTTTGTATAGCCTTTAGGACCCAATTATGTATATTTTTAGAACTTATAGGAGTTCACTTTAAAATTAAATATTGTGTTCACTAAGATTGTATGTAATTGACAATTTAATAGAAGCACAACATCTCTATTATTAAGTCTATTTAGTTTTTATTAGAGTACTACACAACATTTAAAAATTTAAGACTGTTTTTATAAAAAAAAAATATTTTTAATTTAAGGAAAACAAGAATATGAAAATAGTAATATGAAAAGCTAAATCATACGATGATGAATACCAATTATAGATATCGAAAAAACGGAGACTTATGAAACTCAACATGCATAAAGGGCAAATTAGTTTTCAAATGTCGACAACACGAATGAGTCATTATTTCTTTAACTGAGAATACAATAAAATAATGCTATTTGAATTTGCTTTGGAAAATCCCAAAATACCTTTATTCTTACCCATAGTAGTGACATTGTAATCCGCTTGTGTAAAATGTAAACTGCACACTTTTGAATATTTTGTTATTGGTTTCATCCGTTTTAAAATAACATTCCATTTCATAGCCATTGCATCGTCGCGGGGAAATCGGTGGAATTTCACGTTCTTCGTCTTGCCGGCCAACGAAGTGCATTGTGGAACAGTGCAATAATAACCCATGATAACAACAATAATAATTCTTTGTTTTGAACCTTTCACTGTAAGATTACGATTTTTTTCCTGTATAACAAAACACTTAACCTAACCCGACGTCAAAATATAAGTTTTGTTAGAATACTTTTTACGTTTATATTAATTGAAATCATCACAAAACAGCCTTGAAAATTTTGACATAAATGTTCACCTTTTTTTCCTTCACTTTTTCACAATGGCTGATGTTTTTTTTTAATTAACTACAAAGGATCAATTTCAATTCAACACAGATGATAAATGCTAAGAAGAAGATTCACATTTTAATTCTTCGAGTCTTTTACCAGGTTAGATCATACTGACTTTCTACACACACTAATGATATTAAAGCATCTTGACTAAGAGTAAGCCCCCAGAAGTCAGATTATTAGATACTTAATCTCGTCTTAAAACATTGATAATTTATTACTGCCCTTATACAGTGGCACAGTGCATTTCGTCTTTGGATTACGTCCTAGTGTAACCTATCCCTAACCTATTGAACATACTGGTCTGTAAAATTAAAATTTGACATTTGACAGATCCATCATGTCGGCAGTTCGCTTACGAGTGTTTATATTTTTTAATTGCTTTCGAAACGACTGATTTAACTTGAACACAATTATTTTTTTTTAATATTTATTTTTAGATATGTTTTCTTGTTATTAGAAAACAGATATACACTTAAAATGCCTTATTACTGCACAGTGCCGCGATGCACATCTATGGCTGGAAAAGCAAAAAATGTTTCATTTCATCAGTTTCCTAGAGATGAAGAATTAGCCAAATTATGGAATCGAGTACTGAAAAGAGGCAAGCCATATACGAAATACTCAAAAGTATGCAGTTTGCATTTTAAACCCGAAGATTATACAATAACTAGTGCACAGAAAAATCGAGGTACCATGCACGTTGTTATTTATTATTATATCGCAATTTTTTTAAATAACAGGGTCATCACTTAACTTAGATGTATTAAATTTAACACAATGTATTCATATTTTTTTTTAAACTTAGGTCAATGGAGGACATTACGAAAAGATGCAATACCATCTCGGAACTTACCATCTGAGTCACCTGCTGAAGATTGGCATAGAAAGAACACCAGTACTTTTCAGTTGCCAACAACACTTGATACAAGTGTAAGTTTTACTACTCTTACAAAAATTAACATGAATATGTCAAAAATTTTAAGCCAGATTATTCTCCTACTTGATCTGGCCGCATAAACAAATTCATTAGTACACATTTTTAATAATAACTATTAGCTTTCACATTCATTTTTATAAGTTGTTGAAATTGTTTATAATTTGATGACTGGCCTAAACATGTGACTTTAGTAAAAATGGTTAAATTAAATGAATTTTAATATGTAAATCATAGAGTTTAAATATTAGTATGTTTTCCAGGTACAACACCAAATGGCGCAAGCAATTTATGTTCAAACAATGCTAGCTATGCAAGCAGCTGGTATAAATGAAACAAACAATGTATTTACCCATGGTATGATGTTTTTAATATACATATAAAAAACCAGTGGCTCCGTTCATCCGTTGGGGGTCTTTCAAGTATTACGTATGCACCATAAGGGGAGGGGGGTCTTTGATTTTCTTATTTGGTGATTATGTCAACAGCAATTATTTACTTTTTTACACATATTACCCACACATTGCTTGTTATTCTTGAAAACTAGGATTCCTACAAAAAAATAATATGTTTATGTACATTTTTTTTTGAGAGCTTTTCTTACTTTCACTGACAAGAAGAATGGGGGGGATAAATTGCAGTAAATCTGCTTATGTAATACTTGTACGACCCCTTGGTCTTGGCCTGAGATTTGTGTACCTGTTTTTGATTATATTTTTTTCTTAATTGGCACATACTAGCTTTCTGTCCGTGACATTCAACATGTCTTCCTTAACCACATATTAAAGCACACAAGCAAAAGTAAGTTGGTACACAAGTCTCAGTGTTAAGTGTTGCAAAGTGAAGCCACTAAGCCGAAATATGCTCTAAATAACTCTATGTAACATCACTTAATTTAACATCCAACTCCCAGAAACATCAAAATTACAGGAGTTTGGTTAGATTGCCTTATTGTCCATACCAAGTTTTATAGCTGATACTACACTTGTTTTATTAATAATAAAACTAATATTTCTGATTTAATAAGTGAATTATAAAAAATACATTACAATACATAATAGTTTTTATTTTAAATAGCTGTGATAAGGCAAGGCTTTGGAAACCTCTCATTTTGGTCTGTTGTATGTATTTTTTTTAAATTAAAACTTGTTCTTTTGTACTTGTTCAAAAACTTACATAGCTAGAGATCATATAGTTTTTAAATATACATTTAATATATAACGACACTGAAGGGACTCTGCATTTTATGGCGTTATAGAGAGTTGTCGTTAAACAGATAGAAGAAAAATCAGAATTAGAAAAAGAAAAAGTTTATTTCGGACTAGTGTTATTTATGTACATAAAAAAGAAAAAGAATCTTATATGAATGCTTTTGCGTATAGTCTCTTAATTTAAAGTAGGTGAGCAACTAAGAATATGATAACGTATAGATAACCTGATCTAATAACTAAAATCAATGGCGCTAAAACTTTTTTTAGGTCTGGGTCTCAGATTTCTGTATCTGTTTCATGATCATTTGCTAATCTAATAGGCCAGCAGCTGATCAGCCTCCTGACGAGTAAGGTTTCCTCACGATGTTTTCCTTCACCGTTCGAGCGAATGTTAAATATCTAATAACTCCTACTTATTAATCATGGTCAACAACAGTCTACCTGCAATCCCAATTTGTAAACGAACGAATTTCTTAGAAAGTTCGTATGCATGATGCCGACAGCCGAGTTTATTGCGGGCTAGGATAATAAAGCGACAAAAGAACGTAGCTGCGCAGTTTTTACTAATTTTAGCAACTTAAAAAGTACTTTATTACTCAATTGTTGTCGTTATTGAGAGAGGGTGTAATGCTATATAGAGTGTATTGTATGGAAGACAAGCTAAACCAATCAAGGCCAATTAATTTTCACGCTTTAGGGAGTTCGCCGTTAAATCGAGGGACGTTACATGAAGTTTACATTGTATTTCAATATATACAGTTATTATATATATTTTAAATGATACTAAGAGATCTCGCTGTGATTTTATCATTTTTTATTAAATCCTTTTTTAAGAATGGAATTAAAAATAAATATGCATAACATTCTAGATTCAAAACAACGGATTAACATAATAAGTATGAATTAACAATCCGTACTACAGTTTCAGAACAGTCGTCATCATCAAATTCTGACACTCAAAATGAAGATGATAATCAAACAACAATGCAACAAGAGATAAAAAACACAATCCCACCAGAAAAAGTAACTTATGAATGCAATCAATGTTCCAAATGTTTCAAAGACCCTGATGTCTTTATTCTTCATCAAAGAAATCATGTCAAAACAGAAAATAATGCAGAGATGCTGAGAGCAAACCCCATATTGGCTAATTTGCTGAAAACAGACTCTGAAAATAATAAAAATGTTATTAGTATAGAAAATCAAATTATGTCAGCACTAACAGAAAATATGGCAAATTATTTGCAGAACTTGTCAACTATTATGACAAACACTGCTTTAGACAATAGTATGCATAGTATAGTTAAAGGACAATATGGAACCGACCTGATTGAACCTGATAGTTCCAATAGCACCAATAGTGAAGATCTTATTAAAGAAACTGAATCCGACACTCGGTATTGTGAAGAAGGCAGTGATGAAAATAATTCTAAATTTATTGATGAAACAGATGGACATGATGTTATACAAGAAATGGGCAGCGAGGCACTGTGATATAAAACAAGACTTGAAATAGTATTAAGTAGTATTTGTAAGTTTTTTCCTTTTTTAATCTTATTCATTGATTCAACAGTATAGAGTTTGATTAATTTTTATTAATTGGATTTGCAACATTATACAATATAAAACTATTACAAAAATTGTTTTATAAGATATTAAAGCAAATGTAAACATGCATTTTCTACAGATGTTTTCTAAATTTCTGTTGGTGCTCAAACACATTGTCGATATCATTTAGTGAACTACCAATCTCCTAATAATCTGTAAAAGTAGTTTTATAACTTATATTAAGAACAACAAACAAGATTATTTTATTTTTGAAGAAAAAGTTTCATGCATATAATCTTTGTAGTTAAATTTAAATGCTTTGTAAGTTATTTACCCACCTTTCATGTAGACTTTAGTTTATAAGTTTCTCTTAATAAAACTAAAAAAAACACTCAATAGTATATAATAAATCAATTTTAAACAACTTATGTCCCACCGATTTAGCATTGGTTATAAATAAATTTTTGTCAATTTTTGATTGGCTCAAGAGAGCTTAGGACTAATTGTGTTATTTAACAAAGGTTCCCTAAAAAAATTGTCTTATATTTATCCTTAAAACGCCACAAGTGATTAAAAACATTTAATAACTAGTATCACATGAGGCATGTATTTTTGTAAGGATAAAAGTTAAATTATAACCCTTATTTATAATAACTATATTGTGTTGATATGCGGCTTTAACTAAACTTACAAAAGACAAAGACTGATTTAGTTTACATGCATAAGGGGATTAGTTTCTAATATTGCATTTATAATAAGATGAACGAGGGGATGTTGTTTGCATTTAAAGAAATGTGTAAATGTTTTTCAAACCTTAAATTTTTTGCTCTATTTTTCAAATATTATCAAAAGTTATTTTTCTGTAGACAGGCAGCAGATTAAAGTCTTTGGACTTATATAATAGCTGTGTGTGTAACAAAGAGATTTAAATATTTATTTTATTGCCGAGTATTATAATATATTTTTAACTTTACTTTAAAATATAAGACACTTATTCAACGCCATTTTCAAGTTATATTTTATGCTGTTGACAGCACATATATGCTATTAGTTTACAATTTGTATACTGTTAACAATCCAATATTTGAATTTATATTTACACTACTTTTGATGACATCCAATTTATCTGAATTTTAAGATATATACTGTAAAAACATCAGAAAAGTATTTGTATCATCTGCCTTAGTAGTATATATATAAAAATATTTGTTTAATTGATAAGCCCCTTTGGGTTTTATTTGGTTAAAGGTGATCAGTTTTTCAAACTATTTCACTTCTGTACAACTGTAGATTAAATGAATAAGTTGTAATTTTTGAAGAGGCCATATGCATAGATAAAATGCTAGTTATATATGAAGTGCCTTATATAGTAGTTTTAAGTTTATGCAGTATTTTTATATGTTGAGAGTATAAGATTGTAAATGGGATTGTTATGTTTGGATTTTAATATCCGATCTCAAAGTGCTCAATTACATAATAACTAATTTAATACTGTTTGTAATATTGCAATCTGAATGTTGTGACTGTGAACAGTGATCGTATTAAATGTCCTCATATATGCTAATAAACTTTACAATTTCTAGTTTCTTTACCAAGAGGTAAGGTTTTAAGAAATTTTGTGTAAAAGTTTTATACACATTCAGCATTAGAACACCCAAAATGTGGTACTATATAGTATATTGTATCTTTGTTTATAATACATATTGGATACAATGATACTAAAATAAGAAAACCATGAGAATTGTGACAAGACTAGGCTAGCTTATGCCAACATTAGTATATTAAGTCATATCACCAACTTCATCAAAGTATGTTCAGTTGATTTAATATAATGAAAGTAAACCCCACTTTCACTTGATATAGTCACAATCTCAACTTGAGCTCTGTTAAATATGTAAAACTTTGAATATAAGTTTGCTCTTGATATATTTTTTAATTCAGTGATTTCTGGAATATGAGCCTAAACTATTAGTTTTATGAATAGTGTATGCTTTGCTTTCCTTTAACACCAATTGATTTGAATGTTTAAATTGTTTGAAGATGTATTTTTTTGTAAAGGCTTCATGTAAATACCTAACTCTCTCGCGAGATATATCAGCATATTTACAGTTTATTATTATTTCTTATTGAAACGTGACAGAAACAAAAGTGTACCTACTTACAAAAATGTATAATTATGAATTTGAGTTTTACGTAAAATCGTTATAATCATAACCACTCTAATAGGAATCAGTCTCCCTCCTCAGTCCTCACTCAACCACTAAAGGAAAGCGAAGCTTAAATGTGTCTTTTTTCTTGTGTGATCTCTTATACACTATTAAAGTATTTTAATATTACGTTCCATTTATTACTTACCCGATTCGTGAAGAAACAATAAAATATAACGAAGAATGATAATTTTTATTTTATATACAGTACCTATTGCATTTTTTACAAGACGTGCACAACCTAAGAATTTATTTTGCTTATTTATTTGAAACAATACTATGATTAGGTATATATTTCTTTTGTTAGGTATAGTATATTAATATACTAGACTGAGCTCGAAAATATAGAAATTAACGATTTTGTCAAAAGATTTTAACACTATACCTATAGACTGGTATTCCTTTTGTCTACGATTGCATTCATTCATTAAAAGTCTGCATTATTTATGATTTCACCAGTGAGTAAATTTTAAATCTCAGGAGAATATTTTAAAAGTACATACTTAGTCTATAGTGGATGGTACGTGGAGAGAAAATTTCATCAAGCGACAGCGAGTATGGTCGGGTAATATTAAAACTAATGAAAATCATACTTTAAAAGTTACGTATAAACTTGTCAATAGGTACCTATACTAAAATGTAAAATACTACTCAGTTGCCAAAAGAAGATTGATAGAAGGGACTTCCCCTAAAATAGACCAAGGATATAATTAAATTGCCCTCAACATATTTGAACGTAACATATTATGATATATTATATCGTAAGAGTATTATATTATGCTAACTTTAACTACCTATAGATGTGAGTTTATTTTTATACAATACGAAATCAACATGTTTTATCAAGTGACGTGAGGTATTGCTTACAATTTTTTACTTGCCCGTCCTTACTTCTAGGAACACCAGTGGTAGTCTTTAGTCTATTAAATATAATTATTATTTTAAATTTCTACATGTGACGCAGCTTTATCGACGTAAAGATAAAATTTTATTAATGAGTTACAATTACAAAGCTCAGTGACAAAGTAGTGAATAGAATGGATAAATGTGGTATAAACATAATATTTTCATGATGAAAATATAATATTAGGTATGGTTTTATAATGTCTTTTAAAGTCAAATGAAAAAAAAATTAGTTTAATTTTATTCTTTATTTCGACAAGTTCCTTTTTTTTATAGAACGGGGCAGCAGGCTCATCTGATGTTTAGTGCATACACTGCAGAAGGCTTTTAAGATTTAGTACGCATCTTTTATCGGTCCTAATTAAAAAATATTACTTACCTAATTAAAATTATTATAGTCGCTCTGTACCTTCTGTAATTTGTCTATTTACTACTTCAATACTAGGACATGTGCATGATTTAACCTTTATATACACCATCTATGGCCCTACAAAAATGATAATGTGTAAATTGTAGCCTATTTTGTGCGCGTGTAAAGGTTCTCTTAATAGAATATAGTTCTTCTGTTGAAAATTTGTGTGGCTAAAAACTTATTACTTAAAGCAAACTACGTTCTCTTGTATATTTCTAAAAAAATGGTTTTGGTTTAGCACCACCCCCAGACTGGTATCACATATGAAAAAAAAGGGAACAAGTGCAGTATAAATTTGGTTTAATAGTTCATTTGAAGTAACACGTCGAAGGCACGAGGGCGGCACTGAAAATTTCGGGAATCAAGGAAGTGACACAACATTACTATTTAAAAATGTATTTATTGCTTTTCGAAGTATTCTCCGCGAAATTTGACACAACCATTCCATTCGGAAGTTGGGGTCTCCAAAATGGCCGTTTTGTAGGCGTCCACAGCTTCTTCAGGTGATAAAAATCTCTGACCACGCAATTTATTCTTTATTTTAGGGAAAGTATAGAAATCATTAGGGCTTAGGTCGGGGCTGTACGGCGGATGGTCTAATAATTCTATGTTTTCTTGCTCTAAAAACTCTTTTGTTCTGTGCGCGGTGTGAGAACTGGCATTGTTGTGATGGAGGATGATGCGGCGGTTGCAGTTCTCTTTACGGAGTTCAAAAACGACCTGTGGCAAACAAATGCTAGCATACCATTCTGAATTAACCGTTCTTTGTCCCTCAAGAGGAATAGACGCAACATGGCCGGTTTTGGAGACAAACGTGGCCACCATTTTTTTTCGCAACACTCCGTGAACGAACAATTTTGTTGGCTTTAACTCATTTTCGAACACCCAAACTCGTGACTGGTTTTTTGTTTCGGGTTCGTACGCGGATTCAGGATTCGTCACCTGATACGATGTTGTATACAGCATTTGAGGATCCTGCGTGGAACCTTTCGAGAGTTCTGACGCACCAAGTAACGCGAGCCGCTTTTTGCTCTTCACAGAGAGAATGCGGTATCCATCGGGAAAACAACTTTTTTACACCTAATTGTTCATGTAAGATTATTTGTATTTGACTCATAGTCTAGTCGACAAGTTGAAAATGGAACAAAATAGAGATACTGCTCTTAAAATTATGTGCGATAGCTCATTGGATCCGGAATGACGTCTAGAAAAATGTGCTAAAAGCGTGTATTAGCACCATTGATATACAAAAAACCCAAGATGCACAGTCTCGAATAAAAGTAACGCTCGAAAGTGTCCCGAAACACTATTTCTGTCCATAACAGTATATGTTACAAGCATATAGGTATTATTGCAAAATCAACATTACGCGAATTGCTTAAAGTTGTTATTACAACGCAGTGTATACGTACTTAAAGCAATAAAATTTTACGACCGACCGTGGTCGGTAGGACAAGGTATTGAGTGGAGTCGAACATGACTTTTTTATTTACAACTATTTAACATAATTTTAAATTTATCCGACTTTTCGGGTGCTTTACAGCGTGAGTGGTCACGGTGACTGAAGACAAAAGGTGTTGGATGTTAAATAGTTGTCAATTTATAATAATACATAACTTTAATCCGGTTAAAAAGTTTTTTCTTTAAATTAAAAAAAAATGTTAAATTGGCTACCTCCTGACCCACACTTTATATAGCGTAAATATATTTGTCAAAAACTACACACAAAGAAGTTCAAGAGTACATAAATTTATTTATAAAAAAAACACAAATAAATAACATCGACTCCACTTGTAGACGCGAGACTATTTGAAATGAGCGCACAATTTAGAATGTTGCGCTCATTTTTTGAGGACGTTTTTTTGACGTTGAGTGTGCATCTTGGGTTTTTTGTATATCAATGCCCGCAGACCTATTTTCAGCGTTAAATTAAAATTATAAATAATGGAGATAGAGTTCCGGGAGTTAGGAGTTTTTTATTGAAAATTTCCTCTTCTTTCAGAATCTTTATTTGAAATTTCTTAAATATTAATAGTTTATTAAATATTGGCAAAAAACTAAATGCCATTTTTTTTTCATCTTTAATTGTCTATAACTTTTGCAATTTTTTATGTGCTAATACACGCTTTTAGCACATTTTTCTAGACGTCATTCCGGATCCAATGAGCTATCGCACATAATTTTAAGAGCAGTATCTCTATTTGGTTCCATTTTCAACTTGTCGACTAGACTATCATGCCAATGTCGAAAGTTGCCTGAATTTCGTGGTATGTCACATGTCGATCTTCCTCAATCAGCTTACACACAGCATCAACGTTTTCTTGGGTGACTGCAGTTTTTGGACGACCTTGACGGGGATCATCACTGAGCTTGACACGTCCACGTTGAAATTCAGCAAACCAGCGATAAATTGTGGTTTTGGATGGGGCTTCATCACTAAATGCAGAAGTCATCCGGTCAACACACTGTTTTTGTGATAAACCACTTCGAAAGTCATAATAAATCATAGGTCTTGAATTTTCTCGAGTCAATTCCATTTTCTCAACGACTAAACAAGTTTGACAAAACTTTGTGACAAGACCGAGAATCTTTTTTTAAAAAAAAAAGTATTCGATTTTTAAAACCAAGGAGTTTTCAATTAAAAATATTTAAATATGACAGGAACAGTGGTATTATAAATTATTCCATTCCCGATACTTTTAGTGCAGCCCTCGTATTAAAAAAGAAAATGAATTTCCTTATTCTAACTGTAGTTATCTAAAGATGAGAATACAATGATACGTGTTGATCAATTTAAATTCCTAAGTATTTCATGAAGGTAACTTTATTTATGGCTGGACAAGAAGTACCTATAGGTGTTTGATCCATTGCAATTGTGAATTATTATCATGCAGCCCTTCTTAGGTTGGTTGCTTTTATTAATTGAAAAGCAGATATAATTTGTTTTAGATGTGTTAAGATTAACCATATTTTCATTTAGCCTTCATATACTTTTATGAAATAAACATGAAACCCTACGACGTTTCTTTTTCCGGATTAACCCTAGATATGGTTTTTGCCCTTTTTTGGTATGTCACCCACTTTGAAAGGAATTTTGATTTATTCACGTCAAAAATAATTACTATCGATTATCAATGATCAAACATTACTACTTATTTCTGAAGCATTTACTACTTAGTATATAACGTAACTCACATAATAGTTGACCACAACTTAATCTTTGTCGAATAATATTATCATTACTGCGTACATATTCTATAGTACTATGCATGTGTAATATAATATAATTCATTCTGTGGACATTTTGAGCGAATGAGCTACATCTGCACTCTGTTGCAGTGATGCCAACTTGGGGGCTTTCCCCCCCAAATTTTTGGTGAATCAAGATATCTTGTGGAGTTTTTAGGAGGTACATTTATTAAGTGGGATTTTTAGAGGGTACTTTACAAAAGATTTTTTATCTTTAAAGACTCATGATTTACACATGATTTTTTTACAATTTATATTAAGCCTAGAACCCAACCGACAAACAAAAACAAATATAAACTCCAAGCGTGGCTATAACTGAATTCTGAAATATCAAAAAGCTATCAAAATTGTATACTACTTGAATGTATTTTTAATACATATTTGAAATTACTACTCTAACTGAGTGTACAACAATATTAAGGGATTTATAAACGATATTACGTAGTTGGTCCCAAAGTTCTGTCACTAGCACATTATTTCTACATTTCGAGCAGGATTTTATAAAAAAATTATTGCATTCTATTTTGGAATGTTTGATTATTGTTTTAAAACAAAAAACAATAACTTTCCGTAATTTTTCACGATGGAGTGGACATTGAAAGTAAACCGAATAGTTGTTATTGCGTTGCACCGCTGTGGACACTCGCCGAGTACCATTTTCAAGTTGCTCAAAAATTTGAATATAACGCTTAGGTTTGTGTACGGTACTATTGATAGGTACCTTGAAGTCTCCAGTGTTGAGGACAAGAAAAGAACTGGCTGGCCACGCTCCGCAAGAACACCAGCAGTAATCAAAGCTATCAAGGCGCGGATAGTAAGAAATCCTGTCCGAAAACAGAAGTTGATGGATTTGCAGATGGGTGTCAGTAGGAAAACAGTAAAAAAGGTTTTAAATGAAGATCTTGGTCTACGAGCATACAAAAAAAGAGTGGGCACTTACTTAATGCTCGTCTAAAAGCAATATGGCTTAAGAGATCGCGGGTGTTGTTTAAGCGGTACGCGAAAAACCGACACCGTGATATCCTCTTTACGGACGAAAAATTTTTCGATATTGAAGAGAAGTACAATAAACAGAATTATACAGTGTACGCAAGGAGTTCTGAAGAAGCTGAAAATAAAGTTCCAAGGGTGCAACATGGACATCATCCATCATCAGTAATGGTTTGGTTGGGAGTGTCCTATTACGGGCTAACGGAGGTTAATTTTTTCGAAAAGGGGGTCAAAACCAGTGCTACAGTGTACCAAGAGACGGTTTTGTATCGCCTTGTCAAAGACATGTCCAGCACCCTATTTGCGGGACATCACTTCGTGTTCCAGCAGGACTCTGCGTCTGCATACAAAGCCAAGACCACTAAAGCCTGGTTTGAGCGTCAAAACATCGTCTTAATTAGACATGAGGATTGGCCTTCCTCCAGTCCGGACCTTAATCCTTTGGACCAGAAATTATGACAGGGCTTAGAGAGGAAGGTCTGTGATAAACCTCATGAAAATTTGGAGAATCTGAAGTCATCTTTAAAAAAACCAGTGACTGAAATCGACACGAATATGGTGCGTGCTGCGATAGACGACTGGCCGCGACGCTTAAGGGCCTGTATTAAAAATGAGGGAGGTTATTTCGAATATTTTTATGCTTTTTTTATTCCTTAATTAATGTACTAAGAATTGATATATCACTCATTACAAACTGATCAGTACTTTTGTTTTTATCATTATTTCCATTTATGACAGAACTTTGGGACCGACTACGTATATATGGGTATTTTAAGTTAGTTTTAGGGGGATCATTCTGTAGGAGTTGCCATCACTGCTCTGTTCATCTGTTGTCGACGTTGGCCTAAAGGCTTAGATACCAGGCCATAAACTAAAAAAAAAAAAAATCTGTTGCCGTCGTAAATCGTAATTTTGTAGCTACTAGCTAGGGGAAAACCCGTGGTTAATGGTTATATTATATTTTTTGTAAAAACATCGTCTAAGTTACATTAAATGTAAACCTGTGAGTTAAAGTTTGTATTTGTAATTTGCTTAGATTCTAAATGAATAGGAAAGAAAGACTAAAAGTGCTAAAGCTTCAAAGTGTAAACAAACTAGTTTATTTAATAATGTATAGGTATGTTAACTAAAGCTGGCGGCTTCAACACATTTACACTTTGTGCTTGTGTAGTGTCTGAATAAGCGCGAGACGTGATGTCAAACTGAAATACAATCATAAATACCTCATGAATAGACTGTCCGTCGTGTATGAGTGGACTAAAATGTATAGCATGGCAAAAAAATCATATTTTGAAACATACTGTATGTGAAATTGCATTAGTGTGAGTACTGTGAACCCTCCAGCTTTCGATATCTATATCGCCTATATTTTGTTAAATAAAAGCTATAAAAAGGTTCAATCAATCAATCATCAACTAATATAAAATATCAAAATGTCTCAAGAAATTAAATCAAAAATGAAACCAATTAGGATAATGAAGAGTAAATTAAATAGAATTCCTAATAATATGACCTTAAAATTTTTACTTACTAAAGATACAGAGCGAGAAGATACGTTATTTAAGGCAAAGGAAAGTGACCCTATTTATCAGAAATTTCCTAACTTAATAATAATTAACAAGTTAAACATGGTAAGTAACACTAATCGTACGACTGCGAAATTTACAGAAGGCACCACGACAGTTGAACTATCTTCTGATAGTATAAGTGAACTTCTTGGCCAACAAAACTATGACCTCATTTTAAATGCAATTAGCAGCGTTTTTAATGTAGCTGCAAAAGTTGAAGCTATAATGGCACTTTTGAAAAAGAAACCTATGAACAAAGTTGATAAATGTGATGGAAACAAAACTATTGATAGATTAAGTCAAACGGATGAATCATGTATAGTAAAGGTGAAACAATTACCAAGACGACGACTGCAAAGGTGCAAGGCTTATGCAGTTCTTGATAGTCTTATACCACCTGAGACTTTTGAGAAACCACCTCCAAAAAGTAAACCATTGGAAACAGTACAAAACATAAGTCTTATTGACACAAAGGATTTTTTGAACGAAGACAGTAATATGTCTGATATATCTTTTGATAATATCTCATTAAAAAGTTGGCAAGTTCCCAACTCAGTGTTAAATGTGAAGCCATACTTTGATTGCATAGAGAAATGTACATCTTCATCATTTGTATTAAAATTAGTTGATGGTAGTAGTGTAACTTTAAAAACAAAACCGCCTGACTTGTTTCATATAGCAACACCCGAAAATTTAAAAGATTTAACAAGAGAAGAACAAAAGCGGTTACTATTACATCAGGCATATTTACATTGGAAATACTGTATGGAGGTTGACGAAGATGACAATTTGTAAGTATTTTTTTCATAAATGCATGAGCTTTGAAAAAGATTTTTTGGTTGTGATTGTTGACAACAACTCTACTTTTATTAGTTATATAAGCGCCAACTATTTAACCAATATGTTTAAATTAACGTTTTTAATTTCAGACCTCTACATATAGCTGTGCTAGAGAATGAACCAGATTTATTATATAGACATTGCATTTTGTTGAAAACACGGCAGGAGTCTGTGGACATACTAGGAGAAAAAGATTTGGTTAGTGCACTATATCATCTAAACTTTTTATTCATCATAAATGTGGTGACAAGGCAAGCTTATATTTTCTTTGGATTTTCATAACATTTTGGTTAATATCCTGAAAACTATAAAACCCTTACTATGGGACCAATTTAGTGCAAATAAAAACATTTAACACCTTGCCCATCCACATTAGTCCATTATTAAGGAAGTCAGTAAAAATGTCAGTATTTTTACAGTCAGCCCTACAATTATCGGTGCATACAAACTCTCCTCAGTGCATGAATATATTACTTTCGTTTGGAGCTAAGATAACCCAGATTGACGCTGAATGCCAGTCTTTAATGCACATAGCTGCTGAAACAAGCGTAGAGTGTGTTCAAACAATATTGCAGCATTGTCGTGAGCATCCAAGGTATGAGATAAACTGTTTCTATATTTGTTTAATTTTGTAACAATAATATAGTATACTTGCTGAGCCGGCATATGTTTGTTTTACCTTATATTATTTCTAAGAAACATTTTTTTAATTCAATAAAAATAACTATCTACAATAATAAAAAATAGGGATTGATCGTAGAGGGGTGAAAATTAAGCTGGTATTAATTTTTGTATCATGAATCATAAAAATAAAAGCAAAAAAAAATTTTTTTTTTTGGGGTGGAAATATGGATTCTTAAACTTACTGAATATGCACAAAAAGTTTAATAAGAATCAGTCGAGCCGTTTCGAAGGAGTAAGTACTTGTTCACGTTGAAAAGCGCGGGCGCGGAGAAGTGGCGAGATCGTGTTCACATTGGCCGCCAGGCGTTTGCGCGAGTGTGACGTGTTGTCAGAGATGGTAAACATGGACGACATTCTTTTATTTTTAACCTAAAATTCTTATCTAAAGTGGGAGATGATAAAAATAGAATTTGTGTGCACGAAATTAATAAAGAAAGGAACGGTATGGTGAATTTCATACTTTATATAGTAATTTGAGAGACATCCTTCAAGATTTTTTGGATAACCCAGGACGACTGTCAACTGTTTTGATTACATATTGGATTCAGCACAAATAAACTCTTCTGTATTGAAAGACATGCTGAAGACGTACTACCGTTTCTAGCGACAAGTTCAAACTGGTTGAACTTACCTGACGTCACGAGTGAACCGCGCGCTCCGCCGCTAGTTCGACGTGATTCGTGAACACACACAAACATTTCACGCGTTTGATATTGCCGCGAGCGGCACGCGCGCGCCAGTCGCTACCTTGCCCGCTACCTAAACCGCACGTGCGTTTCGTATGTGAACACTTGGATATTACGCCATATGTTTGATATTTCGTGACCGCGCCCGCCAATGCGCCCGCGAGTCAACGTGAACAAGTACTATGGGAACGAACATTGTGACACGAGAATTTTATATATATAGAGATTAGCTTTAAATATAAATCGCCTTTTTTTGTTTTGCAATATATTTCCAAATATTGCCTGATAATAATAATGAATTATGCGACGTTGCCGCACTTACCTGATTAGTTGTTACTAAATAAATGCTCGTAATTCGATATCGAGTAAATCAATAATTTTTATGTTTGTCTGCATACGTTATTTCATGGTATAAGCTAAGCTATTGTTAAATGCTGATCTACAATCGATTATTTTTCTTTGTATTATATACTATTATTTATTTATTTTTTACTTCTAGAAAAGCCAGGGTTGAAATATGTTAATTTTTTTTATTTTATGTTGCATATACTTATTAACATTCACCCTGTATGTTCGTACTTATGATTTTAAAATTGTCTACATAGAGACCTTCCTAGCGGGGCTATATCGGCGGGTAACTATGAACTATGAATAGAGGAAACACCAGTTATATTTAATTATCAACTATTCAATTGAATTACATTCTTTCGACAGCTTTCGACACTAAGGATTTTCCTAGCGGGACTATACCGGCAGGAAATTACCTATGAACTATGAATTATATTCTATGAATAGCGGAAATACCAATATTAATATTAAAATGAGGGGAAGAACCACTATGCCGTTGAATTATTTTCTACCGACACCCGACATAAAGATCGGTGGCGCTATGGAGATGTTTAAATAAAACTCTTTGTTTGAAGCTGGGTTAGCAATAGACTTTAGGAATTATCCTAACGGGATTTCGCCGGCGGGGAATTACTTCTGAATTTTATAAATACGAGTGACTTTATTTCTAATATTATATTTCATTATTAATTCAGCGGATGATAGCACTTGATAAAAATGTCAACTCCACTACGCTAAAAGCAAATTGGAAACAATTCACATCGCTTTCCTGAGAAAATACCACACTGAAGACCAATTGCGTTGCAGAAAATCTAAGAAAGAATTAGTTGGACTAGAAAAAATTCCAGCTACTATGTAGTACCACCACTGGCTCTAACACTGATGCAAATCTTGACGCGGACAAGTACCTGAAGGAGTTGTTCAGTGATGCTGGTTCTTCCCAGGTAATTCTTCCGTTACCCTTAAATTTATAAATACCAGTGCCAGCAGCAGCTCGAGCTTGAACACTAATGAAAAAAATATTACGTTAAATGTGCGCTACTAATACGCTTTTTAACCACGTAAAAGACGTGATTCTAATGGAAATGTTACGCCCAGGATAAACCGCCAACAAATTGCTGGTATTTTACCACGTTTATAACTCGACTTAAAAATGCGTAAAAAATGAGTTGAAATCAAAGTTGTTAATCTATATGATTGATGATTGCATTAATATCAAGCAGGACTCGATAACAAACACGGGTCTGTTAACAGATGTGTTCAGATGTGTCTGTGAACAAATTCTCAACTCATTTATTTACAATAGACACAGGCGCCAAGTGCCATACTACTACTTGGTTTAAACTACTGCAGCAATATAATGGGAGACTTACAACTTCATGGCGAGCTGAAGTGTGACGGTCAAAGCAGATATGCGCCCTATGAGACTAGATTCTCTATGAGAACTATCTTCTTATGAAAATACGGCTATTCGTCACGCAAATGATCTGCGGTAATTCAACTACATTCTCGTTGCAGCACAAAGAAGCTGGTGGAAAAGTAATTGTTATACCACAACAGATATGGATATGGAACACAGTGACTGCTTAAAAGCTTTTATAAAGCATATCATCCGCAAACGGACAGCCTCACTGATGCGTGGGGTTCGTGCGAGTTCTAACAATATCCTGATGGTTATAGGTAAACCCGAATGTGCTGTTTTGAGACATTGGGTTCATATACATGCCTGTGTACCTGGTGCCTCGAATCAACGTAGATATATGAATTAAATGTTTTCTTCTTTGTGTCTTTAATAATTTTGCTAAATTTAATTTTAATTTTACTAACATAGTTATAAGGATTACTTTACTAACAATATATGGATTTTTAATGGTCTGAATTAAATGATTTTTATTTTTATTTTTTTATTTTTTTATTTATATCATGTCAGATATTCAAATATTTGCTGTGGATTTGTCAATTTCATTGAAAATAAATGACTTGGAGCTGAAACAACAAAGGCTAAAAAACTAGAAAATATCGTAGTTACACTTGAGATTCCCAAAAGAGATCCTGCTGTTTTGGAGAAGTAATTCAAGCATGGATAGAGGTTTAAGGAAGTTCAAAGGTCATGTAATAGAAATGCCTCCAGCTCGTTTTGTAGCAAACTTACTACATCCTGAGTATAGGAGCGAAAACTACAGGGCAATGACAGGGTTTTGAGAGGGATCCCTATCCCTTTCATAACTTTCTATTTGAAGGTCATATAGTCACGTCGGACACGTCGGACCTCTCAAATGGTGGAGTCATTTCAAAATCGGGCTTGTGACTCAGGTTCAAAGTTCTGTAACTTTAAGCTGTAAATCTTGTCGCACTGTTTATGTAAAAAAATTAATATTGTATCGATTTTGTCATATTGTCCTACAATGTGTGTTTTTCAAAATATTTTGATTTTATATTAACTAGTGTTCTTTATTTATTGAAATTGATATATCGCAGTTTGATTGAATTAATTCATTATTGGACGTAGACCTCCTCCATTTTTCTCCCAATTCGGCCGGAATTGCGCTTGTGCATCCTGCTGCAGCCAGCATGTGATGTTGTCGTCGGAGGCCACCAGTCGGTCTTTTGTTCTGCTGAGGTTGCCATTCAATTAGCCTTCGAGTCCATTGGGTCTTGTCCTTTCGCGCTATACAGCCCTACCGACCCACTACCAAGCGAAATTAGAGAATTATCACTAAATAAATTCAAATCCCTCTAATAAAGCATTTTATAAATTTGACGAATATTTAAATGATCCTAATCCTTGGGATTGATTTGCTCCAGTTCAAACAATTTGTATGACTTAAAACAAGCGATTAAAAAGAGGGGCGGAAAGTTTCTTGCCAGTTCTTCTTGCCCGCTCTACGCTCTTGACTTGCGAACTGGTAGTTAATGTAAATTTACAATTAATTTAACTTCTTTTCTGACGTTCATAAGTGTACTTGTTTACCTATATGAATAAAGTTATTTTGAGTTTGAGTTACCACGATCTTATTGAATACATCGTTTACTTTACGAATACGGTCTCGAAGGGAGATGCCCAGCATTGCTCTCTCTATGGTTCTCTGAGAGTCTTAACCGATTATTTATTCTGAATACATTACAAAAATAATGCTTCACAAATTACTATACTAATAAAAGTTCACAAATATAACAGTTATCGCATAGACGCGACTTAAGATTCCTAAATATTAATTTATTTTCATTTTATATCCATTAATTAGCTATGAGTTATAAAGTAGTTTTTAAGCTTGTTCTTTTTCATATTGTTTTGATCTATGTTTTACATCAACTTCTTTTAATCATTCCAACCCTGAGAAATCTTTGAAAATTAATATATAATAATTTCTTCTGTGCGTGTGTATGTGACTGAACTCCTCTCAAACGACTGGACCGATTTTGATGAAATTTTTTGTGTGTGTTCAAGGGGATCTGGGAATGGTTTAGATTCACAAATCAGTTCGGCAGATGGCACTGCAGTCGGTACTTTCATACTTTGCTTAATATCCTAATCGCTTTAAATATCATGCAGGACAACGTCTGTGGGGTCCACTAGTTAATATATAATAATTTAAAAAGCTATTTAAATTCTTTTGTTACAGGAAAATTTTATCTGAAAAGGAGGGCTTGTGGACTCCCGAATTGGAGTTTCAAAGCGATGAAGAAATATCAATGTATTTGATTAATGACTTTTGTACTATGTTTGATGACCAAGGTATGTAATAATCCAATTAAAACCTATATTGCTCTTGCCTGTTATGGCATCAGTTTCTTTGGTAATTTCTAATTTATAGATAATTAGGTAATACGCCTTCTGCCCTGCGATTCTGTAACTCACTTTTCGAACTCACACAGCGGTTTTCGCATCGGCGGTCGGTCTCAAATCAGTCGTGAAGCAGTCATTTTATGATTTGGCATTCTGAAAAGGTGGGAGCTTGTAGTTTATTGTTTATCAGAATGCCAAATCATAAAATGACTGCTTCACGACTGATTTGAGACCAACCGCCGATGCGAAAACCGCTGTGCGAGTTTGAAAAGTGAGTTACAGAATCGCAGGGCTGTGCTTGATACGTCATGATGTTTTCCTGCATCGTGTGAGAAAATGTTATTCGTTCATAGAAGTCACAAATATAGAAAACCGTATTCCATTTAAAACCAAACTTTCACTTTGCAACGCGCCTAACCGTAACTAGCTACGGTAAGACTTACACAACCTATATGGTTAAGTTGTCTCGAAATCTGTACTGGACTCATAAAAATGAGGAAAGGAACATTTTTAAAACCTGTAAAATAATGCCCATAACAGAAAAAGTAAATAAATGTTCATCTCAGTTCAATCTTCTAGTCTAGCACTTTTTTCGAGAAGACATAAAAACCAGTTGAGCATAACGTGCAAACCCGAGCTTTAACGCAAGTTACGCTCTGTACTTCGAAAGCAAACGTCTATGGAGAATGATGAGGTATTTGTTACCGCGGCTAATGAATGGACTATCCGGTCAGGTATTACATACCCTAACGTTAGGCAAAAAAAGTAAGTTGAAGGACTACGTTATAGGCATTTGTCGCGCTCCTAACAAGACGGCTATTGTCATATTTATACAAACCACAGTGGTTTCCAAATGTAACATATAATGATTTAGATTATATTATTCTGTAAAATAAATAATAATAATAATAAAAAACATACAATGGAAACATTTATGTATCAGTACTTAATATGTGCATAACTGTTCCAATCAATCTGCTTCGTTTGGAATCAAATCCAGGACAACCGATATACTTTGTTGTTATATTCTTTATTTTGTTATTCTGTAGGTATGACGCCACTCATGATAGCGAGTGGAAAAGGCTTTGACTCAATAGTGGATGAGTTGCTCAAAGCTGCGCCTCAAACAGTTAACATAAAATCACCATCAAGTGGCAACACTGCCCTATATATTGCAACGTCTGCTGCTTATTCGCATGCTGAGCGTAAGTTTTTTTTTAAGTAAAAAAAAATATTATTTTGATTATGTATTATAATTATTAACAATTTACTTAAGTGAAATAAGTTGTTATTTTTTAAAACCTACGTTTTGATGTTTGGATTTATTATTTGCAGTTTTTGGCAACACCAGCAAGTTATCATCAAATTATTTAAATACGATAGCAACATTGTGCAAATATGGCGCCGAGCCGAACATTCCAAACGATTCGGGCAACAGTGTTACTATGCTTTTAAGTGAATTTAAATCTAATGAAATCGCACAAATATTAGCTAACAAAGTTTGTCATGGAACACAGAAATTCGACTCCTTCATGCTCGTCAAAGATGATGGTGACATAAAAATAGAACCTGTTAAAATGACTAAACAACGTGAAACAAATGAACGCAAAAAGCAAAAAGATACTGCTATAACATGTGAAGATATGCTAAACGATTCAGAAATTGAATCAAACATAGAAATTACTGAAACATTGATCGTTGATAAGCCAGTTCCGTCAACTAGTTTTGTTACCGAGCAAATACAAACGGTACAAAAATCTCAGCCAGTAATGATTAACCTAAATGATTCACTTAGCCTAAACATTACAAAAGTATGTAATCCACGAACTTATAAGATCGTTAGACCAAAAATGAAGACAGATTTAAGTGTGATAAAATGTGAAACAATCAAAAAGTATACGAAAAAATCTAAAGCAACGCAAAATTTAATAGAAACACCGCAAGTGTGTCAACAAACATTGAACACAAAACTTATAGTTGAAGTAGAAAGTTTAAATACGAGAAAAAGAAAACATTCTATGGAAAACACTAAATTGAATGATTAATCCCCGAAACTGGCCTTATTAACATGGACTAACTTTACCTTGGTTACTATTAATTTATATATAAATTGAATGTAATATTTCACGCCAGTTTAATTCTTGCTAAAGTGTGTTCAAGAAAACTTGGAAACGTGTTTCCCAACGTAGGGCCCTCAGGGGGCAATTTTATAGTTAACAAGACAAAAGGGTTTGTTTGGAAACAAAATAAAAATAATAACATTAAATTACACAGTTTTCTAGAAAAATCACAAGTTTCTATCAAATCCGTCACTTTACCGACTGATTAATTTGAAATTTAAACACACACATGTATTTTTTTAGATATTAAAATTTAGTCAATGTAGTATCCAAATATTATATAACGTGATTTTGGATGTTTTCGAAACATCAATTTGTCCCCTGTAGCGTCGGCTGTTTCTTGATTTTGACAATTAGAAACAGACGACACCGATGTGTCAAGATAATTCTTAACAAATTGATAATGGTCTGTCGTCGTTAATAATATTCCATCATTCAAGAGAGTTCAGATTTTACGTAAATAAAGCTTGTATGCCTTCGAGCTAACAAACGCCCACTAGCTCCTTTCATATGTATATTTTAAATAAATTATTTTTAGCATAACTCATGTACATTCAAAATAATGGTAGTTATTTCGTAACATATTTCTTGAATATTTAAGATTTTTTGTAGGTAAATTTAAGTGGGGAATAGAGAATCCCCACTCCACCTACGGGAGCTGAAACTCCTAACCTAACATTAATATGGGGTCTGGTACTATATCGTACTGTAGTCTCCGGAACGCTGGCTCTCAGTCTATTAGGATTCATAGCCGAGACTTAGCGCGAACTAAGACTCCGTATGTCAAAATGTAATATATTTTAACACACATTTCATATGTTAGTGTAGTAGTAAGTTTAAGTAGTGTAATTGGATAAAGTTTTTGCGTGTATTTTAAGTATGTTCATTTATGACAGCACAACTTATAAAGATCGAAATGATGTATTATTGCAATTTAAAAGGCAAATAAAACTAATATTTTATGCTCACCAACTAGAATAAAATTTTGTATGAAATGAAAGGAATTACAATTCTATAAATGTATAATTATGTTATAATTTTTATTTATTGATTATTCAGACAAGGGGCTGCCTTTATTATATAATTTGTAAACGTTAGAGGTATTTATTTGGTATTTCCTGTTATTTAAATGTTACTTATTCAAACAACTACTAAACGTCTCAAGTACATATATTCAAAATGATTCAAGTCAAGCTTCTAGCATGTTGATGAACTGATATGTCAAAGAATGCAGTATGCTTGCGCTCACTTTAGGCATTTTTTTATGGATTAAATATATGGCCCAGAGAGCAAGTGATTGATGCAGTTTCTTGCGGAACAGAAAGGCGCGCAAAACGCATTTGTTCCGCAAAAAGTTTTGTGTGATGTTTTTTGGCTATGAATTAAACCATATGTATACACGTGTACCGTCTAGAGTGCCAGTGCGAGACCTTTTCTGAAATTTGGCGTTATTTTAATTGTTATATTTTTGGCATGTTGTTTATTAATTTTAGGCATAACTTGTATATGTAGGTACTTACATTACTTGTAATTATGCTTTAATGAGGTATTTTTATATATAATTGTCAATTTGACATATGTTTTGACATTTAAAATAGTATAATAATAATAACATAGTATAATAATAATAACATAGTATAATCTTCACTTGCCTGTAAATATATTCATTATTTTTCGATTAGTTTATTTCTACGGTTGTAATAAAATTAAAATAAAATAATGTCTTATAAATCTTACACCTTTATTTATTTACACAACTCACAATTTTAAACGTTCACATATACAGAGAAATAACTAATTAAGTCCCGAAATTTGAGCAAAATCGTTGGTAAAATTGAATGGCAACATTGGTGAAACTTTGAGAACATGGACGGAACAATCAGTCTTTAGTGTGTAGTTTGTGTTCGTTGTAATTATATTTTTCACAATGCTTCCATTCAACATACATTTACTTAAAATTCACATTAGAGTAACAATTTGTAAAGTTTTCAAATCATTAAACAACTTAATACTAGAGTTGGAGCGCGTTCAAGAATAGACACAAAATTGTTTGAATAATAAAATATCTCCACCAACGTCTCATCGTTGTGCGTTTAAAATTTTATATTGAAATAGTTAAGAAAATCAAAGAAAATAATAATAGATATCGGCAATTCGGTCAAAAATTCAATCAAAGCACATACAATTGTGATGTCATATATAATTATTAAAACTAAATATACTTAATACCATACCGACAGACACTAAAAAAGTAAAATGGTAAAATAATATACCTAAAAGGACGAATCCGAAGACTAGCAACTAACGGTAATTATTATTAATTAAATTTCCTTTAATCATGGTTAAAATCGTAAAATGGCAACCCACGCCCCAGAGATTATTTACACCTATGAGTTGAAATTTATAAAATAACTTTAATTTGTTCGAATAACACCAATGGATGATAATTATCACATATCGTCCTAAAGTAATAGAACCTAAGAATAATAATTAAAAAGTAAAATATGCTTTCATTACATGTTCTATAGGGATTCGATATTAAAAAAGTATATGAGAATACGTTTAAAATTAACGATTATTATAATTATTTGTGGCTATTGCGATAAACCTACATATTTTGAAACTATCTTGAAATTTATAAACAATATCTAATCTCAGCGATGTTTTTGCACCTGGCAATACCAAATCAAGACAGTTTAAAAATTAATTCGCCACAGCACCGAGAGAGACTATTTTTAAGATGACTTATTTCAATACCTGCTATGCTGACAAAAAAATGGCCGAAAACATATTATAAACAAATTAACATGAATCTATCCTGGTTGTTTAATTTGACAATTGACAGTTGCTCCCCCGGCGACAAGATGGCGCATCTATCCTACCGCTTGTCTATTATCTCCTATTGAGTTCGTATCCATTTTGTTCTTTACTTGGCGTTTTGGCGGGAGGTGGTTTTGCTACCGCGTGCCCTTCTAGCCTTAGCGTGCTTTGACGATGTGATGATCTGAAATGTTCATAATGTAAGGTAAGTAAACATAAACTACCAAGTACCATAACCGATTACACACACGTATAGCGTCGCGTACGTCTGAATCTTGCTTACTTTTTTTTTTAATGGCTCTGGCACGGTTTGTGCATTAGCCAGCGTCAAGTATAAGATTTTTATAATTCGTGCTTTTTGCCTTAGAAATTCGACCATGTCCTCCATGTACGGTTAAGGCACTCGCCCGGTACCGCACAACCCTCCCAAAGGCCGAGAACAAATTTAAATTAAATTAAAACTTGCCCTCGAACCGGGAATCGAACCCGGTACCCCTCACCTAGCTGCCACTTAATGAGACCGCTAGGCTATGAGGCCCCTATCTTGCTTACTTTAGATGATGTGAATACAGACAGAAACTACGTAATTTTTTTTTCCTACATAAAAATGTAGTCTGTATTTAACGTGATCTCTATGACTTAGGCTTACATTTGAAGCAGATGTAAATGTCGATTCAATGTCGTTAGTAGTTATTCATTTGAATAGTATTTTTATAGAAAATGGAAACAATTTAAAAGAATTTAAATATTGGTACCATAACGACAAACCCTATTACTAAGGTAAGCACCTAGGAACTCAATGACTATTTCGAAATGCAAATTCCGGAAAACAAAACAACAATAACATAGTCTATTTTTAGGGTTTAGGTTAGTTTTTGCATATATTATGTGGCTTGTAATAGAAATATAACAAAACAACATTTTATTATTTTCATATATGAAAACATCAATTTCTCGGAATTTATACTCACCGTATAAGACAAGTGACAGCTAGCAGAATCAGCAGTGCTCCCAGTGCGGACAAACCCCAAGAAAGGACAAGACGGGCAATGGGCGGGACCTTAGTGGCTAAACGTAGGAGCGATGACACTTGGTCTGGCAACTCATCTATTCCCTGTATAAAAAAAGTTAAACATTGTCTTTGGTAATAACGTAAACTTCTTTATCATATTATAATTATTAGTTATAAAAATGTCTTTGAGGAAATGTATACTACAAATACACTTAGCAAATAATATACACTGGCGCGCAAAACATAGAGATTGGATGTCAATGTCTAAACTTGATTTTTAACGCTTTATGATATCAACTTATAACAATATACGAGTAGTATTAATATGGCAACATCTCCAACACAGCTGCCAAGGTCACATATCGTGGTCAAGTCAAATTATAATTTATTTTGATAACAATAGATACAAGTAAAAAGTAGGTATTTTATTAATGTACGTAAGTGTTGCTCTAAAAATATTTATTTTTTATTGTACACTTGAAAAACTTAACACATAATATTGTGTAGGTACATACAGGTTGGTCCACCTAGTGACGTCAATAAATTTTTCAGATCCCCCAGGTGGGATACAATACCCCATGTATGTTCCACGATTTTTGTATTTTCGAGTTATAATTTTTTTGTGTTTTTTAATGTTTTCTGCCACGAGGTTTCAAAAATTCTATCTTTTTTGCAGTTTTTTTCTGTGAAATGATTGTCTTAAATGTGGGTTCTAACTACCAATTCATAGAAAAAAATGGTACTTAATTGGTATTTTTTGTCGTAATCGGCCTTTAAGGTGGATAGGCCAAAAATCATTGAAGCATTAAAAATGTTTTTTTTTTTCGACTTTTATTATTCTTATGGTAAATTAAACTTTATAATGTGATTTTAATTAATTTTAATACCCGTTGAAAAAAAGTAGCTTTCCTTCGGGTAAACCAGCTCTTTGAAAAATCCCCAAACGTTGTCGTTATGTATTCAAGTTGGAGGAAGGAGTTTTGAAAATTTATTATAATACTAGCTGATCCGGCAAACGTCGTTGTGCCATGTATATCATTTATAATAAAAAATAGGGGTTGATCGTAGAGAGGTGAAAATTGGGGGTTGTATGTATTTTGTAATGCTGTATCATGAAAAATGTTTATCTAAAAATTAAAAAGTAATAATTTAGGGGTCACTACCTTAACATTAAGGGAATGAAAAATAGATGTTGTCCATTCTCAGACATACCCAATATGCACACAAAATTTCAGAGAATCGGTCAAGTTACGGAGAAGTTCGAACAAGTTCGATTCGAAACACCGCGACACGAGAATTTTATATATTAGAAATAGTATTTTTTATTTGTTATTAAAAAAAAACAGGTTATTTCATCATTTCGAATAACATTTTGAATTTTGAGTGGTAAGACCAAAATTATTGTAAGAATTACACGAGCTACTTTTTTACGGGTATTAAAATTAGTAAAAATATCGTAAAGTTTCATTTCCATAAGAAATATAAAAGTTAAAAAAACAGTTTTAATGCTTCAATGATTTTTTTCCTATCCACATTAAAAGGTCGATACAGCTCATTTATTTTAGGGTATTAAAATTAATTAAAAAAACACTTATTAAGTTTAATTTACCATAAGAATATAAAGTCGAATAAAAAATTTTTAATGCTTCAATGATTTTTAGCCTATGCACCAAAAAAATCCACCATTCCAACAAAAAACAATTAATACCATCATTTTTCTATGATTTTGGTAGTTAGAACCTGTGGAGTTTTTAAACTTAGCCAGAAGCTATGGAAACTTCTTTTTGTATTTTTAAATTGAAGTCGAATGTTTGGGCAATCATAAAATAAACTTCTCTTTAAACCTTTTTTAGTAGCTTTAACTAATTTTAGGAAGCTGGGATTTTTTTTACTTAATCTTTAAGCAATATTTAACAGAAAAAACCTCCTCAACAAAAAGATATGAATTTTTGAAACCTTCCAAATTCAAAAACAAAAAATTATAACTCGAATACAAATCCACTACATGGGTATTTTCGTATACCCGGTAGGATCTAAAAAAAATATTACTCCTAGTAAACCTACTACATATTACATCTTCTCTTAAACTCCAGAGAAACACTATCACCTTTTTTTTTTTAAAGTGGAATCGCTTTGCCTTTAGGGCCTTTACTTTAGCTCGGGCTGTTTTGGGGAGCTTAGCTCGCCTATTGATATCATACGGATGAGCGCCTATTTATTTACATAACCATGGTGAATGATTTGTCATAACACTAGAGGTATGTCGAGGGTTACCTAAATCCAGTGAAGAATGTCCAGGATTCCATCAAAATGACAAATAATTTATTTTAATAACTAAATAATTTTTCTTTAATTTTTCCGAAACGTTATTATCATTAAGTAAGTAGTTTTCATAACTGAGAAGTGCATCCGGTTAGGCGATCTTCAACTATTGAAGATCTTAGCCACGATTTAATTCTCGCAACGTAGAGAAAGACCTTTCTCTTCCTTGCTAAGGGTAGTTATCCAATTTTCCTATATTAGGATACATTTGATGTCACACTTTAAAATAAGCTATGTTATGATATGTTGAAGTTTAGTCGTTCCGATTCCGATTGAGGTAAGGTCTAGCTAGACGTTTCATACGACAACGCAAGTGTGGGCGGAAAATTCAAATTTTCTTTCGTTCATTCCCAAACGTTTGCCATCATACAAAGTTATTATATTATATTAAATTAATTAAATATTGTAGGTATGTAGTTACATATAATCTGTATGGTGATAAATTTATATATAAAATCATTATGTTCAATTAGTGGTCCACCTAAGTCCTGCTCAGGGGTCATGACCCCCATGACCCCTACCGCCGTTGATCTCCATAGACTAATTCTCTATTTTGTGTCAATTAGGTATGTACAGTTTGTTTAGATATGTACGCAAAGTTACACACTTCTAAGCATTACTGTATTCGTCTAGTACTGTTTAGCTTTTTGGGAAACCTGAAGGGGTTTGATACATTTTGTTGAAACTTTGGAAAGGAGCAAAAGTCAAGTCTGTACTTAAATGACATCCGTCTCATCGGAATACGAGAGTCATGGAATATAGAATGCACTTGTCTCTGGGCACATTTATGCTCTATGACACCTCCGCACATGTCAGAAATAAATATAGATATTATAAAAAGAAATCGTTTTCTTACCTCCTCAAACCACAATATAGGAAAAACGATGTCCGGGAAGTTGGCGACCTGCTTTATATCAACCACTTGTGATACAGCCAAATTTATCTGGACACGCGCACGAGCCTGCATTGCTGTACCCATTTCCTGAAAAAGAACATAGTAAAAATAATTTTTATGTTTTTAAGTAAATGAAATAGAAACTTAACCACTTTTAAGTATTGAAATGCAATGATTTTAAATCTTTTGTTTTTAACAAATTATGACTACTATGTTATTTATCCTCATTCAGAGACGAAATAGTACTTTAAAACACTGCCGTTAGACTAATAATTCACATTTTGATAAGAATTGGCAACACTTAGGCATACGTATATTTTGATCTGGGGCTTAAGACAAAATTAACGAATTTATATGGGACCATAGCTCATGCTTTGTCGCGTGACCACTATCATACGAATTCGTATGGCGTTATTGGGTCACGCCTGTCGAAAAGTGATTTTGTCTTAGGACCCAGATAAAAATATAAGAATGCTTAAGTGTTGCCAATTTTTATCAATCATTATTAAAAAATAAATTAGTCTAACGGCAGTGTTTTAAAGTACTCTTTCGTCTCTGTTTGAGGATAAATAACATAATCATCCTTCGTTCTTCTGGCTAATGGTGCAGGTTTCAAAACCGCCTGAGTGAACATTGGTAATTAAGAAATATGAAAAAATACTCACAGGCTGCACATCGATATATAGCCTATGCTTTTCCGCTTCCGGTGGGGAAATCCCTTCCACTGCTTCACGGAAACTCTCATCCGCCAAGTAGAAATGAGGGAACGAGAGCATTATAGGGGAATCTGAAATATTTACCAATATATAGGTAACTTTATCGCGTTTTTCTCGTGATTTCCTTCGAGATTGATTCTATATTTTAGGCATACATTTGTTAGAGTAAATTCACTACAAACGGAACTGTGGTAATGGTGGTTTCTTCGTGCCAATAAGTTATTTCGACTACCTACCTATGTATTTGCGTGTTGTTCCCACGAGAATGTAAGTGCGTGCACCTATTTCACCATGCATACTGCTAATAGAGGAGAAATCTTTGTATTGTTTTTATTATTAATTAACTATTAATTACTTAAGATGTCATGTGGAACATGGTGTAATTGTTGCAGCCTCTTTACAAAAATTGTGTAAAACAAAAAACTTGGCTATTAAAACGAGTGGCGGAGAGTTTATTGCCAGTTCTTCTCGCCCGTTCTACGCCCTTGATTTGAGAACTGGTAGTAAATGTAAAATTAGAAGCATTTAATATGAGTTTATTTCTGTTTTGACGTTCATAAGTGTACATTATGTTACCTAAATGAATGAATGATTTTTGATTTTTTTTGAACAGTTAACATAATATATTCACTGGAAGATATTTGACACTTTACTATTGAATTCCATACAAAATTAATGGTGTAACCATGATATTTACGTTTTAAAGACCGAGAAGTCCCGGATATTTTAAAACAAATTAAACATACCGTATTGACAGAGAGACACATTGAATAGTCCGTTAGGCGCACATGGTGGGCCATTGGGGCAGAAACACTTGTTGTAGTCGTTATTAGCGAAAACGTCCTCTGGCGGCGTAAACCGGAATCCTTGGACACCAGCAGCTGACTCGACGTCTTTCAAGTATCTGTAATGTGAATAAATAATATATATGTGTGTTATAAGATATGTTAAGAAGTCGCTTAAACTTTTCTCTTTCATTAATAATACGATTTTCAATATCTACTCACTATCTTTAGATAATCGTTAAATTGTTTTTATTCAAGGTAATTAATTCAGTGTAACGTGTCTTTCAGTAGTAGGATCAGTGTAGGTAGCTCTGAGTATTCTATTAAAATAAAAACATTAAAAAAATTTATAGAATCAAGATCTACATTAATGTATCAATTCAACACTTAGTAATTTTTTGAACCGATTTTTTTGCTACTCATAGAAATCAAAAAGATTTCTGATGTTTTCTGCAACAAATTTTGCCCACACCCCAACCAGTAATCGACCTCTGCGCCCTCAGCTAACACTTTGTATGAGTGAAAAGAGCGAAATGGCAGAAAGTGTATTTCCCTCTTCCCCCCATCAACCTATACATGTCAGTCCTACTACTGGCTGCGAACTGGACGGTTTGTGTATAATTTTGTGCTCAAAAATCAAACCCAAAAATTATTTTACGTCCAACGAAATTGTTGGATTCTAAAAATAATCTAGGACATGACAATTCCAGAGGCAAGGGCGGCAAAAATTTCACAGCCTATACTTTGAAAATTTGTAAATTCACCACTGATGGGGAGAATCGGCTTTATAACACGTTACGAATTTCATGTGGACATGTGTCATGTGTCAATATCAACAGGGCACAGCAACGTCCGAGCTTGTCGTAATTACTATAAGGATTCGAATAATTAATACCAATGAACACAAATATAATGATATTCGTCTCAGACAAGACAGTAATGAAGAATGTAATAAGAACCATAATATACAGTAACAATGCTTTTGACCGTATCTTACACTAAAGCGTATCTATTGAAAGGAAATATATCTGTGGTCACAGATCCGACAATGATAAGCACATTCATTCATATATCGAGTGTTTCATATTTTAGTAGTGCCTTCAAGATTTGTTAATAATAAATTATTGCTTGTCCTGTAAAGTATTGAAATTACTTTTATCATATTCTGCCTTGCGATTCTGTAACTCACTTTTAAACATATCACTTAAACAATAAACTACAAGCTCCCTCCTTATCCGAATGCCAAATCATAAAATGACTGCTTTACAACTGATTTGAGCGCGACCGCCGCTGTGAAAAGTTCGAAAAGTGAGTTACAGAATCGCAAGGCTGGTTATGGCCACAGATATAATCTTATGAAGTTAAGTTGCGGGGGTTGAACTATGAAAAATATTAAGATTATTTTAGTTTATCTTCGTATATTTCGTTTGTTTTTATTAGTAAAAATAGCTATATGGAGAAATAATCCTTTTCGACGTTTGAAAGATTTTGAAATTTATATTTTTAACGGTTAAGCTTTTTGCTGCCATCTCAAAAAATTCAAAAGTGCTTTGCTAAAAATTAAAAATTTTTGGTTTGGAGTTCCTCTCATAAAGGCCGGCAACTCATTCACGAACATAGATCTTCCTGAGCAGCCTTTTATAACCTCTCCCGAGGCTCGTTTACCTTAACTTACTCTTAACTTAATTCAAAAACTTATTAGAATTTAAAAGCAAAATTGGAAAAACTATTTTGTATCGTGTTATTTTCCTTGACGTAACTTTTATACAAAATATTTTAAGGATTATGGATACAGTATTAAAGTATATATTTTTAATATAGGGGCAAACGGAGGCTCACCTGAGTTAAGTGATACGACGCCTATGGACACTCACATTGCCAGAAGGCTCGCAAGTGCGTTGCTGGCCTCGTTTATTATTTAATTAAAACGCTCATTTCTTAAAGGATCCTAAGTCAAATTAGTTCGGAAATACTGCATTGGGCAGCTGGTTCCACATATTGGTTGTAAATAAATGCTCAGTTGTGGATATATATTTAAGAATCGTCTTACACTACGGTGTAACATCCGCCTATACGTTCACACATTACACAATCAACGTCTCAAATATCGTTACGCCATATATCAGTTAATAATCCATTGTTCTCGTTTCGTTTGACATCACAATAATATCAATAGAATTGTCTCGATAAAAGTGAATTTTAACGGGCTTTCCGCGTAACACAAATGATAAATGATACGTAAAAACCAAATGTTATATCAATTTCCATTAATAGAATACGTTGGAATATTTATATAGAAAAACTAAATTATACCGTCCGAATTGTATCATTTTTTTTAAATTAAACATTATAAACAAACTTAGGCTAGCTATGAGGTGTTAACCTTGGTGCCTAAAGGGCCATACCACTGTCAAATTCCTTTACAAAACACAAAAACACATGGAACTTGTAGGTATATTATTTAGAGAATATAGCATAAAATATATTTCACTATAACTTCGGTAGTAGAAGATTGTTCTTTTACCATATACCATAGGTAGAATCTTGTTCCAGGTGAAGGAATTTATCTCTATTTGTTATTTGTAATACTTTAAAAACGGAAACATTCAATGTCGTTAAAGTTAAGAGGAGGTGGCAAAATAAACTTTTATCATAATTTATATTCACATGAATTTTTTTTTGGCATATTCAGTTAGTCTCAGAATCGGACAACATCTACTTTTCATCCCCCTAAATGTTAAGGGTGGTCCCACCGTTACATTTTTACTTTTAGACAAAACTTTTTGTTTTTATTTTTTTATGACACAGCATACAAAAATACATACAACCCTTAATTATCACCCCTCTACGATCAACCTCTATTTTTTATTATAGTAGATAGTTATTTTTATTGAACTAAAAAATGTTTCCTAGAAATAATATACATGGCAAAACAACGTTTGCCGGGTCAACTAGTACTATATTAAAATAAACATGCTTACTTCAACGGTAGCAGGCGACACAGATCCTTATCGTACACCTTCAGAGTGTCGTTTCTGGTGATATGCGGTGGGAAGATGGACCCATCAGATCCAGCAATGCTGTTACACTCGTCAGTTGCCCAATGTTGAAGGCTATCACGGTGGTTGTATCTCTCGATGATACCATATTTTGTGATATCAGATGCGCCAGTGAACATTGTTACCGGATCGGGGGCTGTTCCATTTTTCTGTAGATTTTATTTGATAATTAGATCAAAGAATACAATTAATTTATTTTTTTCTTTCTTCATTTATACCTTCATGTGGCCACCATATGTTTTTAATACACATAGGCCTTCTGGCCCTTCAAACCCAAATTATGTTTGTTTCCCCTGCAATCGAACCTAGACCTAATTTAAATCGAATAATATCAATATTGACAAAAATACCGACTTTACCCCACCTCACAGCAGCAGGCACCATCCCCTTTCACAACATCACTTCCGCCCACCAGTAAGGAAGTTCGACAGCGAAATGTCTTTATCAAATCATTCGATATTGCTTGGAAAGTAATAGCTTTTGTCAAGACCTAATATTTGGAGAAATTGTGGAGAATTCCACAAAAGTATAGAAATTCAGAATATATCAAATTATTTTTTGAGTATACAGAATGAGTATTGAAACCTTCAATTATATTCTTATGAATATTCAACCAGAATTGGAGAAAAAAGTTAATGCAAATAGAATTTTAAGTGCCGCTGAAAAATTGTTTTTGAGATTAAGGTATATTAAATTAATGCTGTGGATGGCCAGACTTCCAAATAGCTGGTCTAGCCAGTATTTCAGTAACAAAAAACTCTGTATTCATTTTTCGCCGCGACCACGACTAAACTTATTTATTCCCCTCTCTATTCGCCGCGACTGCCGCTCGACTCCGTGGCTTGCACCGTACTGATTCATGCATTTGTTTCGCTCGCCCGTCGCGACGTCAGTCGCCCGCGCGATTCGCTCGGTACATTTCGCCGGTCGCATCGCTGGTCGCCGTTGCGCGTGGCTTGATTAGTACATTGCTATGAGTTTATTTCAGTCGCTAGACGCATCGCGGTTCGCACCGCGCGAATATTCGCGTCGGCGAATGTCCCGTGGCCAGGCTGTTACGTAGCGAAAAATATTTCTATGAACACTGTATTTAAAAATTGAAGCTTTTCTCAATTCGACTCTAAAATATTTATAAAACTTTAACGGTAGTACATATTTGGTCACGGTGAATAGCACGACTCCTGTAATTTCTAAGTAACTGTTGACAACTCTTTTTAATAAATATCATATTATATTGGCAAAAAGCGTTACAATATACCTCAAGTATGTACAAGGTGTGAAAAACTTGAATGAATCGTGACCAAAGGCTAGTAATTACATCCTTTTAGTACCAGCATGTTAAAGGTATACAATATTTAATTATTTATATTTAAAAGTCCATACAAATTCCTTTTGTGTTTTTAATTTTGTGACAATAGTTTTAAATAATTTATATCTATAAAATTCTCGTGTCATAATTCGTTCCCCAACTCCTCCGAAACGGCTCAACCGATTCTTATGATTTTTTTATGCATATTTAGTAAGTCTGAGAATCGGCTACTATCTATCTTTCAAACCCTAAGTGATAATAAAAAAAAATAAGACATTTTTTTTTGTTTTTATTTGTTTATGATACGGCATCCACAAATACATACAACCCTTAATTAACCCTCTACGATCAACCCCTATTTTTATATGTTAGTTAAGAACTTATAACTTGAACTCTGTGGTTTATGTACAGAAAAATCACAGCAAAACCTAAAAAACTTTTCATCCTGAAACCGAACAGTCTGTGGGTTAGCATCACAAAATGTTCCATGTTGGTATGTACTAAACGGGTAGGCTAAGTAAAATCACTTTAAGGAGAAACGAAGTTCGAGGGGGCTAGCTAGTTTTTATATTTTATTTATTTTGTACACAATATACAATCTCTCTTAATTTCAGACAAAACCCACTCACCCCATAGAAAAGTCCAAATTCCTCATACGGCAGCTTTTGCTCTTTGGGCACGACATCCTTGGCCAGTTTTAGAAGCGGGTCTTCATAACCCCAAAGGAGTTGACCAACGGATACTTCTACGAATGGCTTAATCTTCAGAATGTCCATGATTGACGCCATGGCGAGACGGAGAAAACGTGCCGCGTGCTTCGATTGAGAGGTCGCACTCTGAAAGAGAAATAAATACCTCAGAATCTTTTATATGTATATTAAAATAAACTCACACAGGTGGAAATGTTATTTTTCATTTTTGATTATTATTTTGTGTGTTTCTGAGTGTGTGTGTTTCGATAGTAATAAATGTTATGTTATATTAAAATAAAATAAAATCAAAATAAGTCCTACAAATCTATTTTTGTTTGACAAAATAGCATCTATAATATTGTATAACGTATTTTTAGTCGAAATTAGTTTTCTTTACTATTTATTGTCTGAAGAGATCGCTTGTTGAGAGCTACAAAGCTGGCGGATGCCTAACTTATTTTTTTCAACTATAACGTCCACAGAAGCGAGAGACAATTTTATATGAATTACAATAAATAATTAAGTCTAAGGCTATGTTCACATGTAACGCGCGTTAACGCGCGTCAACGCGCGATCAAATTTGAAGAGAGTTCAGATGATGAGCGCTAATGCGCGTTGCGAGAGTACTCGTCAGTCTAGTTCGGTAGAACGTGGAAGAGGCTATTATTTTGTGGTTATATTATAAAGAAAAACATAGAAAAAGAAAACATACACATTGAGTTCATCCAATTTTGAAAAATAGACCCAGTTTGTTATAAATATAATTCCAAAATTAACAAAATTACATGCGATCACGATGAAAGCGCGCGCTCAACTGAACAGCATACGGATATTACATTAATATCAAAGCGCTCGTCAACGCGCGATCACCTGCGTCTAGAGACTTTTTCTCTGAGCGCCGCGTTGACGCACGCTCATGTGAACAGTTGTATAAAAATACCACAATGTCTAGTCGCGCGATTTGAAAACGCGCGTCAAGTTTTTGCCATCTGAACATAGCCTAATAAGTAATATTATAAAAAAGTAAATCACTGCCGCTACAACCTCTGTAGGTCTTGGTCTCAGATTTCTGAATCTGTTTTATGATCATTTTAAATGTAATAGGCAAGTAGGTGATCAGCCTCGAGTGCCTGACACACGCCGGCGACTTTTTTCTAAGACTTGTCGGTTACCTCACGATGTTTTCCTTCATCGTTCGAGCAAATGTTAAATGCGCACTAAAAAGAAAGTCCATTGGTGCACAGCCTGGGATCGAACCTACGACCTCAGGTATGAGAGTCGCACGCTGAAGCCACTAGGCTAACACTGCTCTCAAGTAATATTATACTAACTTCATTTCTTCCAATACCAGTACATAGCTTAAACTAAGAAAATATCCATTAACGTGTCTTCCTGTTCTATAATGTTTATGGTCGTGGAATCGTTGCCACATAATTCATTTCATGAATGCAACAATGTATTAAAAAATATATATGATATATTGGTGTATACCAAGTTGTATCAACCCTATTATTTTTTTTTATATATATTGCAGTGTGTGCATGAGACGCACACAATGCGACAACTTTTAAGTCCTCTCAATAGTTTAGTTCTAATTCTAAGAAGGTGAGCTTCGTACGAATGACGTTAGTCACGAAGTAAAATGCGTTTACCGCAAAGGTACTACTTGTTGCGCAGTAAACTAACGAACCCAAATAGTATTACGATAAATGCGATTTGCAATTACGATCAATCCACTACATCGATACTCATAAAGCATCATATTAAATTTATATTATTGAGATGAAAATACAGTGCTTATTTGAAAACAAAATGCAACCTTCATCCCATAGTATCGAACCACAACGACTGTGCACCAATTCGGAAACCACCAGAAAGCCCTGTCATATCATTTAAGGAAAACAGCGTAAGGAATCCGGCATGCCTTAGACCCAAAAAGTCGACAGCGTGTCAGGTCCAGTATGATCACCACATGCCAGAAAAGATAAATGACCACGAAACAAACAGAAATCTGAGGCCCAGACTTTGACGGTTGTAGCGCCACTAGTTTTGTTAAACTAAAAGAAACTCAAAGCATACGCAACTTATTATCTGAATCTGACTGTAAAAGCCCAATCGCCGTCATATCGGCTGTGAAAGAAAAATGTAACACTTTTTAGCGTTTTATACTGCATACGTATTATAAATTTCTATAAAACTAGCAAACCGGCCAAGCGTTGCTGTGGCTAAGGTTTTTGTTATATTACATAGTAGTAAACTATTCAAGGGAAACGGTAGGAGAACACCAATCATAGGGACACCATGCTTTTTTGGTGGTTATGCCATTAAATTGTAGCTTATGTGAAACGTTGGTACTTTCAACACCATCTGTTAGAATTGTGACTATCAAATAATAAACAAAATATTTTGCAATAAAATAATATTCCGGGTATAAATTAAGATGTAAGCTATCCTATCTTTTAAGTTAGATCAAACTGCACACGGTGTGCAAATTTGATTGAAATCAGTTCAGCAGTTTAGGAGTCCATAGCGGACAAACAAAACGTGCCACGTAATTTATATATATTAAGATTTGTATTTGAGACCTTGAGAAACTAAAAAGGAAATAAATATAATACGCAACCCTCGCATACATCGTAGTTAATTAAATTATTTGTTAATAAGCCACAAAATCGTAAGTGACACGATAATTGACCACAGAAACCAGCAATTTAAATGTCGTCACGGTAAGCAGGAAATATTAAATTTTCTCTAGGTCACACAAGAATTTCCGTAGCTTTTTGTTTACAGTCCCAAATTACATTCGATGTCTCAATAATAAAGATATACTGCGTATTCACTTATGCTAGATCGTTATTTAACATTGGAAAAATAATAATTTATCCCATATTTTGAAGTGATAATAATAAAGTCATTTAATCATTTAGGTACAATTTGTACTCTTATGCATGTCAACTCGGTTATCCTCATCTTACAGCGGCACTAGTGCCCACACATTGTCATCGTCTATAAATTCCCGAACAGTGTAATATCCTCCCTTTGTTAGGGTTTTCTTGATACAAAGCTTAAACTCATGAATCGGAAGTTTGGTTACACGGTCCGGAATCTTGTTAAATATGTGTATACATTTCCCCATAAATGAGTTAGCAGTTTTATGCAGTCTGAAAGCTGGAAAATCAAGTCTATTCCTACTTCTTGTATTTAAATTGTGACAGTCACTGCGCTTTATAAATTTATTAAGGTTTTTATAAACGTACATAATATTTTCATACACATATTGGGAGGCAACTGTTAAAATACCAATCTCTTTAAATAATTCTCTTAGCGAGTCACGCGGTTTTAATTTGTATATAGCGCGTATTGCTCTTTTTTGTAAAACAAAAATATCTTGAATATCGGCCGCTGAGCCCCACAACAATATACCATATGTCATAACACTATGGAAGTAACTGAAGTATACAAGCCTCGCCGTTTCGACATCAGACAACCATCTAATCTTTCTTATCGCAAAAGCAGCCGAACTAAGTCTTGCCGATAGGTTTGTAATATGGGGCTTCCATTGCAAACGAGAATCTAGAGTGATCCCTAAAAATACAGTTGAATCAACACATTGAATTATTTCCTCATTAATATTAATGTTTGTACTGACCTGTTTTACGTTAGGCAAAGAAAATCTAATACATTTTGTTTTATTAGAATTTAGTAACAAGTTATTATAAGTAAACCAACACATAACTCGGGAAAGGGCATCATTCACCTCGTCAAAATTTATTGCGTTCCTACTGATTTTAAAAATAAGAGATGTATCATCTGCAAATAATACCGTTTCACATAAGTTATTTACATAAAATGGCAGGTCATTTATGTAGACAAGAAAGAGCAACGGCCCCAATATCGACCCCTGAGGCACACCCATGAGAATAGGAGCTCCTAAAGACTCTGCTTTATTTATAACCACTTTTTGTAATCGGTCACTCAAGTATGAATTTATTATTTTTATTGAGTTTGCTGAGACGCCATAATACTGTAATTTTCCCAATAATGTTTTATGCTCTACACAGTCAAAAGCCTTGGACAGGTCACAGAAGACAGCTAAAGCATCCTGTTTATTTTCCCAGGCATCGAATATTTGCTTCAATACTTGTTTAGGCGCATGAGGGTAAAATTTTTACAAAACGTCACGAAGATGTGCAGCGTTTTTGTCGAAGAAAAGGGAGAGAGCGATTGAGACCGATTGAGAGAGAGTGAGAAGGGCGAATTACCTTATAGAAATTCTATTTTTAAAATTAAAATTTCGTCAAGAGAATTTATGAAATATATATTAGTATATTTTATGCAAAATAATTTATTGAAATCTCAAATGACAAATTGTAAATTAAAATGCCACGTGTTTTTAGTATCGAGGAAATAAATCTAAAAAATTAATTAATTATTTGTATTAATTTTCGACACTTAATATTTTAATGACAATTGAATTCCTAACACATCTTCCTTTTTTCCTCCCCCTAAGTCTCGGAAATCTAAAGTTTTAGATTTGTATAAATATGAACAAGACTTAAAATTAGTTTGCCAACGAAGTTTCACTTCTGACATGTGTACTTTGTACGCACGCACTTGTTTTTAAAATACAGAACTGGACAGACGTTTTTCCACAATCCTACCTAATGATAAGTGAGATGTGGCCTATTAGAGGGCACGCCTGTTCAAGAGATGCCTGTCCAACCGCCGCTTGAATTAACACTATCTGTCTAGAGAACAATTTATACCATTCTGCTATTGTATACTTCATATTACGTCTTTAGGCATTTTAATAGAATTTGAATTGTCTTCCTGAATCCTGGAACGAACAGGTGCACTGCTATGACCCTTACGTCGTGTCGTGAGTATGTGAGTGTCTGTGTGTAGTATGTTAACATTGTCAATCATTCACACAACCTCGGAAAGTATAACCTTATAAGGTTTTTCTTACCGATCCGGTCGGCCTTACTTAATGAGACAAAAGTGAAGGCTATAAAATTAACATCGATGTAATGCCTATTAGATTACATGTCAAGAGGATTATGTTTTTATCGTGCGTGCGGTATTAAAATCTTCATTTTACTGTGTGTATCAAAATTTTAGAGGTCTTTAAGGTAAGGTACAAAGTTTAAAGCCCGGTAATATACTCAAAGCTTCAGGTAAGTAGGTGATCAGCGTTCTGTGTCTGACACACGGGGTCGAGTTTTGGATCTAAAGGATAGCGGTTGTGTCACTATATGTTCCTTCACTGTACGACTGAGTGAAAAATATCAACTAAAGAACCTTCAGTTGACAGAAGAGCGAAAAAAGTAGACTAAATAATTCTACTTTTTTCGCTCATTTGTGTCAAGGGGAAATACGTCACGTAGGGGCGCAATTTGATTGTTAAAGGTGTTAGTGCAAAGTTCATTGGAATTTGAATTTCAGTTTTTCAAAATGTTTTGAAAATGTACTTACTGTGTTTCGTTAGCAATTTCCTAATAATTTCTTCCTAAAACCGATCATTTAACTTAATTAAGTGCACACCTAAATTTTTTTATATTAAAAATAATGTGTCTGGGGCATAAAAATCTTAGAAAAGCTAAGGTGTGGCATGGCACAAATAGGTTGTGAAAAACTGCTGTAGACCAAATATTTTATATAAATCATACAAATAATTGTTATAAGGTTAAATAAAAAGCTTTAGCAAAATCTAATCACCTGTTAATTTTTCATTTAAGTTCCTTTTCTAATTAAAACCATGTTACCATGGCAACGATTGAATAAGCCAATAGGCACATAATTTACCGTTACGATGGTGCGTGTCTTTGAACTTTACACTGCGCATATTAAACGATGTTCGCCTATATCGAGTTATTTCAACTTTATTTAAATCTAGTTTTGTTGTTAGAAAGAGACACCCAATAGTGTTTTATCTCTATATTTTTAAATTAGACAATAATTATAGTTTGGAAAATGATGTTTTATATAATATAAGTATAGGGTAGTTTATTATACATCCTAAATATTATATTTTTCAATTCATACCAGTAGTTCTTTTTTTTAAATAGCATAGGAGGGGAGACCTGCATGCCTAAAAAGGGCAGTCGTCCCAGCCCATGGACACTCACATTAGTGGGCGTAGGCGTTGCCGGCCTTTGAGTAAGGAGTATGCACTTTTTTAAACAGGTGGAGGTCATAGCTCCCAAGGAAGACCCCCAACGGGAGTCGATTCCACAGTTCGCAAGTAGTTCTTAAAAGCGCATAACCAAACAAACGTCTGAGCTTATAATAGAGATGATGATTTGTATAACCCACCACGAAATCAAAAATTCACCAGCTAAAAGAAACCTTCAAATTGTACAACACCAACAAAACAAAACAAATTATACACCAACTTTAAAAGATAATAAAATAATATGGAAAGAAAACCTAATTGAATTATAAAGGACTTTATAATATTCATAAAAAGGTTTATACATATACTCATACATCCAGAGATTTGTCAATCAATATTTATACGTTTATTAGCTATTAGCAGCCTTATCATTTTGAATCTACAGTCCAAGAAAGCAGAATCTTGACGTCTTTAATAATTATTATTAAAGTAATAACAGTTAATGTAATGACTATTTTAATTCAAACAGCACTATAAATGCGACGTATTTTTCTCGAAACGGTCGTTTATGTAACTTAATTGGCATGACAAAGGTAATTGTACAAAATATAAGTACTTAACTATTACATAATGTGTGCTAAGTATAATTATAGGGTATTTGCATTAAGCATTCCATGAGTGATGAGCAGTGGTAGCAGTTTTAAAGTGCGACTCTCTTTCCTGGGGTCGTAAGTTCGATCTCCGGCCGTGGACACCAATGGACTTACGGACTACGAGTATGTGCGCATTAAACACTCGCTCATACGGTGAAGGAAACATCCTGATCAAACTGGAATGCCTAAGACCCAAAAAGTCGACGGTGTCAGGCACAGAAGGTTGATCACCTAATTGCCTATTGGAAATTATCACGGAACAGATATAGAAATCTGAATCCCAGACCTAAAAGGTTGTAGCTATTGTTATGTATGATATTCCATCAGTGTCACATAGAAAAACAAACAGGAAATATAAATACATAGATAATATTAAACATAAAATAAGGCGGTATCTTGAATTTTTCAATTAAGAGGGTAGTTCACTTTTATAAATATAAAATGGACAACATCAGCTGTGTGCGCGTTTAACTCTTTTTTTTGAAGGTATTGAAGTCAGTTTGAAGTAGCTGAGAGTTTTAGAATTAAGCGATTATATTCGTGGAGAAACACTTCTTGCAACACGACTTACAGCGAACTTATTAATTATTAACTAAGGCAACTGTAAACTATTTTTATGTTATTTTATTAATAAGAGCTTGCCAACGCTCGGCACACTGATACATTAGTAAAATAACCACAAAATACAATTTTTAATGTGATAAGCACTTAAAGGCAAACATGACATACATGTAGAGATCATACAAATATTAATTAAAACAATTATTAAACTAAACAAACATTAAAAAAACTATGAAGTACTACACGTCGGAAATATCTGCGAACCTCGCTGGAATGCGCTTCCCCTGGCGCTTCCCCGCACCCCGCCCCGTTTTCGCCTATCCAGTACCGTTGCCAACGCAATCGCCGACGCACGTGTATTATTCTTGCTTTCGTAATCGCATTTTAGTGTTTATTGTTTCTCTGTTTGGTGAAATATTACATAAACTACCTATTTAGTGCTGTATGTAAGATGGGTAGGACTATACATAGTGCAGAGCGGAATTATTTGTATTATTTGTAAATTTGTAAATAATTTGAATTTTAAATAATGTAAATAATAAGTATTTGTAAATTTCAAGTAGGTACGAGTATCAATAAAAATAAGTACACAAATAAAATATTTTTTATTTTTACATCTTCAATTTTTTTGCTATCTCTCCAGTTTGTATGACGTCATTAAGCCAGGTTCGCAGATATTTCCGACGACTTGTATAATGTATGTTGTTTTTTTTTTGGAAAAATTTGAGAGATAGAAAACGTCCCTGAACAAAATGGCAGGGGAGTACAGTATTATTAATAATAATAAAAAAAAACTATGAATAGCTCATAACAAATTAAAATCACTTACCAACATAGGTATGTTTGGAACTACTACGGAATCGTCGTCGGGTCCAGCACTCAGCTCAGGCATGAAGGTATACGTCCGATGGTAGTAGAATGTCAATGTTCCATTGTCATTGTCAGTAATATTCATTTTCTCCCATTCTTCGCTGTGAAAAGTAATTTTTAATTATTATTTTATGACATCTAAAGATTGTTCTAGCACCTATCTCTCCGTATCTGTTAATAATAATACATTGTTTAACTGCCATGCTACATAAGATGGAATTACAAAGAACTGTACAATCAATCAAATCAAACAGGCAGGAGGATCACCTGATGTTAAGTGATATCGCCCATGGACACTCACATTTTCTGAAGGCTCGCAAGTGCGTTGCAGGCCTTATAAGAATTGGTACGCTGTTTTCTTGAAGGACCCTAAGTCGAATTGATTCGGAAATACTTCAGTGGGCAGCTGGTTCCACATAGTGGTGGTACGCGGCAAAAACTGCCTTAGAAAACGCTCAGTGTGGAACGACGGACAAAAATATAATTAAAAACAATTTAATTATAATGTCGAAAGCTTACGTCAGTATGTTAAAAACCTGAAAATATACAGTTACCTATCCCGACACTTTTGTTTGTTTGATGTACGATGATGTAGCGCGATACAAAAACCAATTGAATAATAGGGATAATTGCCTCATGATCGTAGAATAATGTCGGATTTGAAAAAAATCCAAAATCCACTTTTTATCATATTTGGATACTACATTGACTAAATATTACGGCTACATTTAAAAAAATTCCATGTGTTTTAAATTTCAAATTAATCAGTCGGTAAAGTAACGGATTTGATAGAAGCATGGGATTTTTCTAGAAAACTGTGTAATTTAATGTTATTATTTTTATTTTGTTTCAAAAAAAACCCTTTTGTTTGCTTGTGTGACAATTTTCAGAGCAACAGAATATGAATTAACAGTAGTTATGACAAAAACTAACATGCTTATATTATTTTGAAATGGCTGCCCTGTAAAGTTCACTATTTGTCAGATCCGTCACTGTTCTACGACTATGACGATTGACTCTATGGATTATCCTGATTATAGTATATTATCCATGTTCTTCCAAAACTTTATTTAAATCCGCCATGATATCGACTAATTTTAGAATCGCTTAGTGGTCATTACCATTATTATCATTTACATGTAGAGGTCGTCCACAATCACCTTACATTTAAAGCACATTAAAATGCAGAAAACTACAATAATTACTTGCACGCTATAACGTGATTGTTCTGTCATTAGCGTAGGTCATAAGTCAAGACTTATTATTGGGTAGAGATCAAGGTAGTTGGACAATGCCATGACTATGTTTCACTTACACGTTTCAGTTTCAAGTTATTTTTATATTTACAAAGAAATTATATTATAATAATTGTCGTAGAATTGTATACTGACATGCGGCCTACAGAAAAGACACGACGAGGATAAGGTAATGAGGAAGGGAAACAGGTTTGGAGTTAGACATAAAAGAAAAAAATAAGATAGGAAATGAGAATGAGTACAATGAAGATACGTTAGACAACACGCTCTCAAGGAGCATTATCTTTTTTTTATAGAACAGGGACAAAAGCTTTTTATAAATTGGACGAATATTTAAATGATTCTAATCCTCGGGATTGATTTGCTCCTGTTCATTTGTATGACTCAAAAAAAGGGGGGGGGGGGGGGTTTTTTTTTGGTTTTTTTCCGCCTCCCCCCCCCCGTTTTGGGGGGGGGGGGGGAAAAAAAAATTTTAATTTTATTTTTTTTTTTTTCCCCCCCCCCTTTTATTTTTTTTTTTTTTTTTTTTTAAAAAAATTTTTTGGGTTTTGGGGGGGGGGGGGCCCTCTGGGGGGGGGGGGGTCCCCCCCCCCCCCCCCCCCCCCCCGCCGGCCCCGCCCGGGGGGGCGTTTTTTTTTGGGGGGTTTCCCCCCCTTTTGTTTTCCCAGGGGGGGGGGGGGGGAAAAACTTTAGTAGCCAGCTGGTTCCACATAGAGGTGGTGCGCGGCAAAGTGCCTTTAAACGCTCTGCTTAAGCTTATTGATTCTCTCGGCAAGCCTATATACACCTACTAGCTAGCAATTAAACTGTTTATGTGATGTAATTAATGTAATTATACATCAAACAGTGGGCGAAGCAAACAAAACTAATTCACAAATATTTCCGATTACCCGGTATTAGTTTAGAAAACAAAATATTACCATTTGTAATGTACATACATTGATCTTTAACCTTAACTGGTAAAAAATATTGTTGTGAGCGAGATGGCAAATCAATTAACATAGCAATGCGAATAGATTTCTTCGAGAAGATACTCAAGATTCTTAGAAATTCTTACGTCAATCATTTTCTTATGCGAATTGCAACAGCATAATGTTTTTTTACTAATTTAGTGTTCTTCGTAAATCTTCTTAAAAGTTTCAAGCGTCTATCTCAAAATAAAGAAAACTAAATAAAAAATCAGTGGCGCAACCACCGCTTTTAGGTTTATGCCTCAAATTTCTGTATCTGTTTCTGATCATTTGTCAATCTAATAGGCAAGAAGGTGGTCAGCGGCGTGTCTCAGGCACACGAGGTGAGGTTTCCTAATAATAATATATCGTATATTTCATCACCGTTCGACCGAATGTTAAACGCGAACATAGACAGAAAGTCCATTGGTGCACAGCCGAGGATCGAACCTACGACCTCAGCCATGGAACCGCACGCTGAAAGCACTAGGCCAACACTGCTGTATCTAACTAAAAAACTAATCAGTTATTATATTTTATTGAGACGTTGCACTGTTCTTATATAATCATTATTCCATTAGAAAATAATGCAAAATTATGAGTACGGACTATTAAAAACCTCTCAAACGAATGAATAACGTTGTATGGCGTCTATCACATTTAGGACAGATACATAAAAATCATCTCTTTTTTCATGATAAATTACATATTAATTAGTATCAGTGTCCTTAAATTTTATATTAAGACTAGCGGGCCCGACAGACGTTGTTCTGCATCATATTTTAAGTGACTAAATATGAAGAACCGAATGCAGCGCCATCTACCGAGCTGATTTGTAACAATTCATTCAAAGCGGTCCAGCCGCTTAAGAGAAGTTCAGTGACATACACACGTACATTATATATAAATATAAGATCAAAGATGAACAATAATAACAATTTAGATTAACATAAATCGATCAATCAATCTAGTTTTATGTGACAGGTTATATAAAATATGACCTACATAATAATATTATATCAAAGCCTCAATTTACATACGTTATTCGCATGTTAATAACGTATGTATGTAATTTATACGTAATAAAATTATACCTGGCCTGTATATATGAATGTTATATTATAAGTGTATTTCCAAACCAATTCGTCTTATGGTCCTTCAAGAAAAGAGCGTACCAATTTATAAAAGGCCGGCAACGCACTCGCGATCATTTAAAGTGTCCATGGGCAGTATCAGTTACCATCAGATGGGCTCATCGCCCGTTTGCCCCGTTTTGTTCTGATATTCTAATTAACCAATAAGTTTTTCTTTTCTTTTTCTAGTGATGTAGGGTATAAGGGTCATATAAGTATGCGATAAACGTGTTGGACTTTGACATACGAAAGTCATACTTAGCATTTATTGTAAAGGTGAAATCTTACCCCTGGTCTTAGCCTCAGAATGTCTGTATCTGTTTTTCTTGATCACATTAGAATTTATTATTTACTTACGAATAAACATATGGTCCCAATTCGTCCAAGATGGGTTTCGATCCATTGTTAAGAAACTCGTCAGCATTGGTAACATTATACACGTATACTCGCACGAAGGGCCGCACTGGAGGATGAGCCCACCAGTCGAAAGTCATCGACCCGGGGCGAAGAACCAGCTCCTAGAACAGAGAATATCTTATTATAATTTTTTAATAATTCATTACATGTCTTACGGAGCACGGTGCATCGTTTGCAGCTCCGAAAGTGGCGAGGGACTTGCGCGAGCATCAAGTGACTTATTGGCAAGCAGCATCACAATATCGTCATCGTTGGCGTTCTCTTGTCGGTAACAGTTTTGAATACCATCGCACTTTTTTGACGATACTAATTATTTAGGAGTCTCGGAGGACCTTCATTGGAACACCTCCAAGTGAGTATTGCTCCGGAAACGCGTCAAAAATTTTATAAAGATTTATAAAGTAAACTTTGCACTGTAAAACTAATTACCGCTAGTCTAGCTTAAACCACATTCAAAATGGCCGATTAAGTTTATAAAATTAATAGGGATGTGAAAAATAATCGATTTTTTTAAAAGTGAAAATCGATTTTTGTATTCAATCTTTAATATTAAAAATTTAATAAAATTCGGCGACCAAATATTTCAATATACTAACTCTAACCTAACCAATCTAAATAATATTTGTTTTTGTCGACAGCTCGATCTAAATAGTAATTGTTTATCTCATTCGCCTCGTGCTTTGCGGCTTGCCGTCTAGTCGCCTTACGGGGACCAAAGAGGTCTTAAATAATAATAATTCTAATAACGAACCAAGAGGTCTAAATAATAATTTTGTTGTGGAAAGTCTGATCGTGAAATTCTAGTAATTGTTTATTGAATAATCGGCATATCATCTAATGCTTTGGCACACAAAGAAATTGAGGCCACAACTAACGTCCTACCCAATCTAAATACTATTTCTTTTGGGGGGACATCTCGATCTAAATAGTAATTGTTTATTCAAGCCTCGGAAACAGCGCCCGGCCGCCTTCGCACCAAAACATGTCGTCTAACCTAACCAATCTAAATAATGATTGTTTTTGTGGACAGCGATCTAAATAGTATTGTTATTCAAGCCTGCGCCATATCGGCGTCAATGTTGTCTTGCGACAAGTATTAATGATGCTAAGTCTGCCGTAACCAATGTAAATATGTTGTTGTAGTCGGACAGCTCCGATCTAAAGAGTAATTGACTGGATTAAGCCTTCTAGTTGCCCGTGTAAGCGCCCTTTAAGAGAGACGAAATAGGAAGATATGTACCTAAGGAATTTAAATAAATTTATTTGTGCTCATTAAAATATTAATAAGCCTGGCTTCTCGGTAAGATCGCGGATTCGCACCAAATATCATATCTAACTCTAACCAATTAATTTTTGATAATAAAAACAGCTGGCATTTAATGTACACCTCGTCACTTTGAGATTTTGATAAGCAATTATTTTAAAACACTTAAAGATTTACTTCATAGATTACCTGTCTCAGCCAATAAGTTTCTTTCATAGCGCCTGGTACAAGGTTACAGCAGGGTCGGACCTAGCTCTATCCGTGCCTTGGATTATTGACATACGAAAATCTAGTAAGACAGACAAGCCACTATAGTGGGGTGCTCTGATTCGGTTACCCCTGGTCCTTTGGCTCATTAAATGTCTAAACACTTTTTCTAGTAAAAAGTTTAATTAATATAGAAAGTTAAACAATTTGACAAGTACTAATTAGAAAATACAGACGAGTATTCGTAACAACAGTTCACCATAGATATAATCTTCAACACGAAATTAGGTTAATTTCAATGTTGATTATGGTACAAATTTAAATGTCCAAGATGAGGTTTCGATACATATTAAAACGTTGTTAGCAATCGGTAACATTATACACGTATTTTGCAGCGAAGGGCCGTCACAGGACTGAGCCCACCAGTCGAAAGTAGAACAGGGCGGAGTAACCAACTCCTAAACAGAGAATATCTTATTATATTTTTTTAATAATTCATTACACGTTTACGGAGCAAACGCACGTTTGGAGGCTCCGAAATGCGAAGGACTCCGCGAGCACTCACTTAATTCAAGTAGCATCAAAATATCGTCATCGTTGGCGTTTAACACCCAACCCTCTTGTCTCACAGACCAAAACTCACTTGTGGATTTTGCACCAGTCGAATAAGTAAAATAAAATATAGAGAGTATATTGCCAGTTTTTTTTAATTTCTTTATTTTACAAATAATTTAATATAATCACAATATGTTATATTAGAAAACCGCTGTGGTTTATATTAATGTAACCATAGCAGTCTTGTTTAGTTATGTTATGTTGGTTGGCGTAAGGCAATCTAATATCTGATTGGGTAGACCATTTATTATCCGTGGTAGCAAATACCTCAACGTTCTCTCGCGCGTTGTTTGCTCTCGTTGTACAGAGCCGAACTTGCGTTACCGCTCGAGTCAGGACGTCATGCTCCACTCGTTTTTTTATGTCATCTCGAGAAAAGTGCTCGACTAGAAGATATTTATTTACTTTTTTCTGTTATTTTTATATAATCTACGCTTTAGCGAGAACTAGCATTAAATGTAGCTTTAGAGACATTTGACTTTGACGTTTGTAAGTGTACGATACCTACCCTTTTGAAAGTTACAGACTTAAAAAAGCTTACAAACAAACCAAAATATTCGTCTATTCCTTATATATAAACTAATGCAGTTGCAAATACGAGTTACTATGTCTTAGCAGTATTGATAACATGTATTTGAAAAAATCAATACCATACTATCAAAATACGTCCAATATTTACAATGAAAAGGTGTCATACGATAATATCAGAGTGAAACATTTAGCAAAATGTTATTAAGTTAAAAATATTACTTATGAAAATATTTTTTATATAAAAATATTGCCAAACATTTTTCCTTCAAAAAAAACTTGCAATTTTATACACCGTGAAATATCCGAGATATTATGTCGAAAGCTCGTGGGACCGTTGATAATCGTCTAACCTTAACCCAGATAGAACATTATTCTCTTTCACGCGGCTTTGTTGATACTGATCCGTGTGCACTACCTTCTGTCTTATACATTAAAGATAGTATATAAACGTGTACTTCACATTAAAAGAAAACTTCGTAAACGAAAAATGCAATTTTATATAACTTGGAACTCGACTTTTAGTTGCCTTTCGCTAACGACGATTGCTTAACATTCGAAACGTTGTCAATGTAAATAATGTAATTACATTACTTTATTTAAAATACATATAAATTATCCTAATTGTACAAATTAATTAGATTTAGGAGATTTCATTCACAAGGATTAGTAGCATTAGTATTTTTGCTTTAATGCAATATAGGAACTATTTAAATGCTTTCTCTTTGAAATAATAGTGTGTTATGGAATATGATTTATTGTGTAATATTTACACTTTAATTATATTTAAAGTGAGCCTATAAATTATTTAAAATCGCGAAAGTTTGAGACGATGAATCGAGTTAGTGATCTTACGCATATTTAACTGAATTTCACTTAGGTAACTCTTATACACAGTAATAACTATTTAGATAATATGTGCGTCTTTTCTACTGTAAAATACAGATGGCACGAGAAACTAAAGTGAAAAAAAAATTATGGTAAGACTTAAAGATGAGAAAATCTTGTTTCAAATTCAATGACAATCAAAAACAATTTTGTAAATTTACTGAAGAATAATTTTGATATTTGTGCGTTAATACTAAATATGTCGTAGTTTATACTGTGGTCCAAAGTCCACAGATCTTAGACCTAAAGAGACAAATATTTATTTTTAGTAAAATATATTAAAACAAACAATAAATAAAATATCTTTATTCAAGTAGGTAACCAAGTACACTTTTGAATCGTCAAGTAAATTAATCGTAAATTTACATTTACTACCAGTTCGCAAGCAAGGCGTAGAGCGGGTAAGAAGAACTGGCAGAAACTTTCCGCCACTCTTTTTAATCGCCAAGTATTGTCATACAAATTGTTTGAACTGGAGCAATTCAATCCCAAGGATTAGGATCATTTAAGTAGTCCTCAAATTTATAAAAAGCTTTGTTGATTAATTTTCGTTTAAGAGGGCTTTGAATTTATTTAGTGATATTAAAACAGCATTACCATATCCAAATATTACACATTTTCTTTACGATATTAAGAGGACAAAATATTTTTATATCACATCTACTCAAAAAAGGTTCCATTTTTTTTTAAATTTGGAACGTGGATACTGTTCTTAATTGCTTTCGTAACCGAGATCGGTAACGTACGAAAACGACTGTCAAAAAAAATCCGCCCGCGAAAAATTATCATTGTATAAATTAAAATTGATCATCTGATGACAAGTAGTTTTATTGAATGTACCTATAAGTTACGTTGAATTTACTTACATGATCTATAAACAGCCGAACCCATGTGCCGAAGAATATAGCGCAGATGATACCGACTAGTAAAAGCACCACCGCTGACGCGAGCACAAACCCTGGAAAGAATATATGTATTATTATTAAGTTAAGTACACATCAACCAACACAACTAACATTAAAACATTGTTTTCGAAGTAAACTGCAAAACCGTGCTAGTAAAATAAACTAATTCTAACCAATAGATTAAGTAGTATATTTTGAAGGTTACTGTAAATACAACAATATGTTAATAATAGATTAAATAGTATATTTTGAAAGTTACTGTATCCAATATGGGGTACAAATTAATCGTATTAAGGGCCCGTTCTCAGTAACTTGTAATAGCGATACTTTTTGTATCCATTTTCGATGTAGCACAATGCTAATGTCGCAACATTAGGATCGAAACAATAAAAAATCCTTAAGTATGTCGTCATAATCCTTGGGTAATAATTAATAATTCTTAAGTATAATTGCCAAAAAACGGTTACATCTATTAAAATATTATGTCCGTGCGTAAGAACCTATAAAAAAATATGTTTCAACTTCCAACTCCAAAAGATCACAGTTTTAGTTTGTGCCTTGCACAAGTCACGGCTAACGGCTGGAGATTAATTTTTTTATTTAGAAAAAAAACTGTGTTACTCAGGAACAATGTTGCATTTTAATGGTAAGAGAATTTTTGAAAACTGCCCAGTTTTTGAGGTTATTTAATTTTAAACAAAGTACATCGGTCAATGTGCTTTAACAATACGACATCTTGTCAAAAGTTACACCTTGTTAGCTAAAAGGTCATACAAACCGCAGCTCAAAATATCAAGTATGTAAATACTAAGCGTATTTTTTTTTGGACCACAAAATCAGGACAAACACACGATACAGACAAATTGACGTACATACAAAAAACATGTACGTAAATTTGTATATAATAACACAAAAAGTGACATTAAAATAATTACACGTATTATGTATATTATAACATAAAAACTATATATAAACTACTGTGTAACTTGCCCGTTAAATTCAAACGTGACAAACTAATATGTTTTAGAATCAGCATTTTAGGCAAACGTGCATTTTTCCAGTCAGTTCCGACCTTAATAAATTGTTAACTTCATTATTTATTGCAAATGGATTTTTGATGATCACTCTATAACGCTATAAATTTTTCAGAATTATAAGGGTTCGTAATTCTGGTTTGATTAATTAAGTATCTAAGCTATGAAGGCCAAAATATTATAATCGCTTAAATGAAAAGATTAACTTCAACAATGATTTGTGTGTTAAACGCAGACGAAGACGCAGGAAAAAACTTAGCTCAGTCACCTCACACGAATTGTATATATATTATTATCTTTATTTAAGCAATACATCTTTTTATTGAATCGTGTGTTCTGAAGGTCAGTTATTTCAACAATTAAGACATACATATATAATTCTTAATACAAGTTTTTGTGAGGTTTTACTAAAAATATTTTGAATGTCGCGAAACAAAAAAAACAACGACTGACGCATGCAACAGAAGTTATAAATACTTTTTTTTATTTACTTTTTATAAAAATCCAGTTTTTTGATTAAGTACCTTCTATGCCTGACACACGTCATTAACTTTTGTGCCTAAGGCATGGCAGTTTCCTCACGATAGTCTCCCTACGAGCGAGTGTTAAATGTGCATATATAAAAGTCCGTTGGTCCGTCCGGTGCACAGCCGGGGTGAATGTACGACCTCAGGGGTAAGAATCGCACGCTGAAGCCCCTAGTGGCCAACTCTGCTTGTCTGGTCTATTAAAGCCTTAGACAAAAACCTGCTAATAAAATATGTTTGTTGCATCTTGTACTAAAGGATCTGGGTGTTTAGGTGTATTGTGCTAGCACTAAATTAAAACAGAATGTTAAATACAAGGCATACTGAACTTATGTCCACATTTTCTAAAATAGCCAACTCTTATGTGCTTTTATAAAAATAAAAAAATAAACAAAAAAATGGTAATTTAGTAACTGAATAAAATAATAATGATATTGATATATGTATTAGGACCACCATTTTCTTCGACAGAAACGCTGCACATCTTTGTGACGTTCCGTATAAATTTTACC